AGAATAAAAAAACTGATTTACATCACTATGGCAAATGCTGCAGAACTAGTAAAAATATTTATTTGATAAATAATAAATCATTTTCATCACTTACATATAAAGACTTTTCTTAAATAGCAGTGTTAACTGTAGTGTTCATAATTGTATTAACTGATTCACTTAATTTGAGATTCCACAATTTTCATCCCACACCTGACACACGAGGTTAAAATTAATATATTTGTAAAATAAAATACTCGGTAAATATGTATCTGTGCCTGAAATATCTTTCTTTTAGTTATGAATTAAAAAAATGATTTTAAAAGAAAGCTTGCGTAAAAGTATAATTTATAATTGCTCTTCCACCGTAAAATATCTCTTTAAAAAATGGTATTAGCTTCCGCTACGCATTCCTACAAGTCATTCATTTTATTTTAAGGCTAGCACACCACTGACTGTTTCTGGGATTAAATACAGGAGCATCAATAATCAGAAAATATCAGAAAAACATTAACTTGTTAAACATTCAAGCTCTTTATCCAACACCTCTTAGAAGGCTTTCTTATGGGTTACTATAAACAAGAAATTCGAATCCTGAGTCCCGCATTGGACTGATCGTTAAGACACGGTTCCCAGTAGATCACCGAAGTCAAGCATCACTGGCTGCGGTCAGTGTGCAGGTGGGTGACCACTTGGATTAGTCTGCGTAGGAACCGAGGGAGTGCGGTATTGGTCCTCGTTACCGTAAAGTGCTCGACTTCGTGCGCAGGTCGTCGGGCTACCGAAGCGGGGGTGCCATCCCCTCCACAGAGGATCAAAATTGTGAAGGCATGTCTTCGGATCATCCTCAGGGATGCTTTCCAGACCGCCACCAATAGCCCATTTTGCAGCTCTAGGGCGACGTAAATTAACTACTACAATTACTACTACCCGAATATTAAGCTGTCCAAGCGTTTAGACATCCTTCTTACCATCCCCAATGCACAGTGTATGCTCGTTTCTTCATGAACTAAGTAATCAGTGGAAAAATTGCTCTCTTTTATAATGTGTTGCTCGATCTCGAAATGAACTTAAATGGAAGTGTCGCGCTATTTCTATTTTTATAGAATACCGTAAAATTCCACAGGACAGATCGTGAGAAAAAAATACCCAGCAGATGAAATAACACCAGCAGCGTTCAGTGAGCTAGCCCGTCTGCAGAGGATCTATATGTGATGGCGCGTCTTTTGATCATTCTCGGGGATGTGATCTAAATCATCACATTGTGCAGATTTAGTGTGGCGTAAATAAAGAACTACTCCTATTACAAATACCGTCAAACGGGTTAATTTTGGGACATTTTTTTTTATCTTGTTTGAATCTCAATGTTGATATCTTCATATTTTAGAACAGATATCTGCACAAATTTTTCTTGACGTAGTGACTAAAACTGTGCTAAATGGTAATAAAAATTTCAAAAAAATTGTTTCTGTGTCATAAAATCACCACCTTAAGTGCAATAACTTTGGGACAACTTTAAAGAATCGACTAATTCTTATTCTAGCAATTAGTAAACCTTCCTGATATCAAGAATCGACACAAAATTTTTAAAATCTCTCTCAAAAAAATTTCCATATTTAATTTTTTTTAAATGTTTTTAGAACAAAATTAAAAAAAATCGAAAATTCATTTTAAAGTTACGAGTAATTATGTAATTTTTATTTTAAGCTTCATTATCTTGATATTATTTAAAGATTAATGCTTTAAGAATAAAATTTAAAAACAGCATCAAGCAAATTATCAAAATTTTGTATGGAAGTGAGATCTTTTTTTTTTTATTTCTCTTTTACAGTGTGCAAAAAAAGCGAAGCATCCAGAATAACTTTTGATCTAATGATTGGATTTTCACTATTAGGACTCTATTTTGAGGTTGTTTTTCGAAGGCTCCGTCGTCATACGAAATTATGCTTTTTCGCGAATAATATGCTGTTTTTATAACTGCTGCGACTTTGCAACAGATACTCATGATTGTTAGGTCGCCGGCCAGGTGGCCGAGTGGTTGACGTGCCTGATTGCGAAGCCAATGGCTGCGGGTTCGAATCCCGCTCTGAGCATAGATGTTTCTCTCTCTCTGTGCTGTCTTCTGATGTGTGAATGTATGAATGTGGCCCACCCTATGAACGGGTATTTGTGGCAGTGTGGCGTGGGTAATGCTGCTCGCCTCCGTGACTTCGGTTTCCAGGTGCCCGCTGGGTAACGATAAAGGAGCAACACTTCCTGCATCTTCTAAGGCGAAGAACAAAAGTTCAGTGCCTGCAGTTATTAAAAATAAATTATTGTTAGGTCAAATTTAGACTATTTTAAACCAACTGTGTCAATGCTTATTTTGAAACTAGCGCAAAACCTCAGTATGAAGAAAAACCACAGTTTTGGGAAAATGAAAAGCATTTGTGGCTTAATTTTTTAATATTTAAAAACATACTCCGATGCTGCATTATCTAGGCTCATAATTCGCAAAAACTGAGAATAAGGCAGTAATATTGAAAATTTTCTTCTAGATGGAAAAATGACTCCAAATTGGTGATTTTTAAAAAAAGTTTAATAGCTTTAAAATAATTCAGTTATAATACTTTTTCGCTAATTTCATTTTAGTTGAAGATCTGTAATGTGTTGTGCACTTTGGTTTAAGGATTTATTAATTTTAAGTTTTAAGTATTATATTTAAGTTTTTGAACATTGCTTTCTGTTGTATTAGTTTAAGTATTATACTTTTGTATTTGGTGATTGTAATTTGTATTTTATCTTCTGTCTACTTGGACTTTTGGCAAAACCTTTGGTGTACAGAGAGAGCAACTTAGACATTTGTAGTGCTCTCATAGAAAAGGCTTTGTATTTATGACATCCGGGGCTGGTACCCCCTGGCAACGTCAGCTTCGGTTGTCATATTTTTCATTTTATCATTGTTCACTTTTTTATATATTTTATTGGTTTCAATTTTCTTATGGATTTTCTGCTGCATAGCGCGTTTTTCCACTGGAAATGTAGTTTCCAATTGCTTTTATAATAATTTTAATTTCTCTTCTTATAAAGTACCTAGGGTAAGTAATTTTAGTGAATTTCTGCAATAAAATTTCTAATTAAAAACAACCAAGAAGAACGAAAAAAAAGCAAACCAAATTTTAAAAATTCATATTTTTAAAGAAATAAACGCTTGCTACGACGTGGTCAAAAATGTTTTCGATGTTGCAGTGCAGTTAGTTTTACTGTTACAATTAGTGCCAGTTACAGTACTCCTGTTGCTTTTATTTATGTTAATTTGCCTAAAATCCATGCTTTTGCTTCTTACTATTGGAGAAACATTGTCAGCTGCATTTCTGGAATGTTCTGCAAAATTTACTAACACCTTACCAAAGAGCAATGAAAGAATTTTCCTTGCTTCTTCACAATATAAAAATACTAAGTTTATTGCTTCCAGATTGTGTATGTTAGATATTGATAAGCGATTCGTTCTGAACATTGGATGTCTTTAGATTACTTATGGCGTTTTTGGGTATCAAATAAATATTTTGAAAGTTTAAACACTCAAGAAATAATTCATAAGGAAGATGATAATTTTATCAATAATTGTGTCTATATATTAATCTCATATAAATACTAATTATTATAAATATTTTATTAATTTTTTAATATAAGCATGATATTAAATTGCTGAATGTTTTAACCGTTTGGCATTGCTTGAATTTCAGTATGTTTTAGTTTTTTAAACCAAGTATCTTAAAATGTTGTTAAACTAATTACTGTCCGTGAGTTATAACAAAATATCTTTGACTTTTTCTAATAAAAGACTAATGACTTTTTTTAATAATCTAATTATATTTATAAATACTTTAATGAATGATGTCTGAGAAAGCAACATAAAAAATATTAGTCTTTAATTCAAAATTTTTAAAATTTTTGATATTTTATTTAAGCTATGCATTAAATATAGCTTAGTTTTCTTTTTATTTTACATAAATGGAAATTCGTCCATTTCTTACTATAAACATTACTTAGCATAAAATCATTTTCAAACTCCTTGTATAACAGACGAAATGTATGAGGATAAACATTGACATTCTAAAATAAAAAATAGGAAAAAAACCAGAAATACACACACAAAAAAGTTCAGATAAGAGAAATACGCACATTATAAACCATTCATATAAAAAGTAATACAGTGCAACCTGTTAAACTGATCTTTAAAACAAAAAACCAAAAACGGTCCTTTTTAAAATTGATCACTTAAATGAGCTATGAAATTTGTGTAACACAAATGGTTAACTTAAAACAGCTTTTAGTGTAATTTTAATTCATATAGAAAAGAAAAATACAACTCTTTTCGTATCACGCGTGTCTTTGAAATAAGAGTTTACAAATTTAAAATTACTGTATTTTCTTTTATTCGAAGGTGCAATAACTTCTTCAATTTTCATCACTTTGATACAAAATTTAACAACATATATACCCATACGAACATCCTCTTATATTTTTAGAGAAAAGGTCTCTAATCTTTTATCCAATTTTATCCAGTCTTTTATCCAGTTTTTTTTTTTTTAAATTATTCCAATTTCGGTAATTTACAGAAGAAAAAGATTTTATTTAATTATATTTATAATTGTTTCATTGAAATAACTGCTTAACTGTCAAAAGTCTGAGGAAATAACATAAATATAAGTCTTTAATTCAAAAATTTTAAAATATTTGATATTTAATTTATTCTATGCACTTATAAATACGCATTAAATGAAGCTTAGTTTTTCATTTTACTTAGCATAAAATGAAATTTGTCCAATGCTACTATAAACATAACTACTCGTTTTAAAAACCCTTGCATAACAAAACGAAAAGAAGAAATCTATGAGAATATACATTAATATTCTAAAATAAAAATAAAAAAACATAAGAGATATTTAGCTTTATCGATAATTCCTCGATTCGTCTTCGTGTAATCTAAGAATAACTATGAATGGTACAGAACAGGATGCAAACACTTCACAGAAAAGCGCCTCTCCCTACGAAAAGCAACACATTTTATCGGAAGGGATTGCACACTAGGTATATATAAAAAGCTAACTCGGGTTGAATCCCGGTATCAGACTCGGTAGCTCTTGACCTCTCCTCCAGTGACCCTCTGAAGCCGAAGATGACCGTCAAAGAAAAGCAAACCCGTGTGTGCAGCCTGTTCACTAAATTAACTTCAGTGAGCAAGACCATTGTTCCTGTTGATCAAAGGGACCCAAGGCTTCATGGCATTGGAAAGTTGGCCCAGGGAGAACTTTTCTCCTGTTTTCATGAAAAGGGACTTGCTGAAGCTACTAAGCTGTATGAGACCCTCTATGGTAAGTCCTTATATTAAATAGTTTTGGACTTCAAGTCAGAAAAATCTTCTCTTTTAACTTTTTTTTAACATCTTTTCACTTTCAAAGTTCTTCGTTTATTTTAAAATCTCCTGTGAACAATTTTCCCACAAAAGCAACACGGTCTTGTTATTTTGTTTCCTTTCCTTTTATTTAACTTAGATTTGTTAGTTTTTCTTTTTAATTAGAATGCATAATAAATAAAATTAATGAAAAAAGAAAATTAATTGTCAAGAAAATTTTTTTAACCCTTTGACACAGAATTTTTATTAAAAATATTTTTTGTACTTTTTCCCTTATTTTTCTTTTAAATTTAAATCAACATAAAAGAAATATAATATATATTAAGCATTTTATTAATTTATGGTTGCAAAATACAGCTAAAACAATATTTTTTTCTGGGTTACTTCTCAGTGACATGACTTTTCATAATTTTGAATTATATTAAAAAAAATATATTTTATTTAAAGTCGCTTGCTTCTAATGATTAAAAAAGCTGTTATTAGCCTTAACTTCGATGTGATTTTCAAAATTGTATTGTTTTACACCCTTGATTTAAAACTTTTTCGAATTTCTTGATTAGTGTTACGAAAGATAACATTTGATAGAGCTGATATAATTTCGATATTGATTATTAAACAACAACTTTATAGTTCCACAATTAATAAATGAAAAAATATGTTTCAAAATTCAACTTTTTATCAAACAATATAATTTATAGGAATATTGATTTGATTTCAAATAATTAATTTTTCATTAAAACGCTAAATGTTACTCAACTCTGGAAACAATTATTATGTTTTTTTGTAAACGTATTCACAAAACAATTAAAGGTAATTATCAAAATTAAAATTCCTTTTTCAACTTTAAATACTGATTTGAATTTAAATTTAAAAAAAAACAACTATCCTTTAAACAACTATTAAATTTTACAACAACAATATTTTTTCAAGCAATTTTTCATCCCTGAAAGAAACTAGAATATTAGTTTTCGAAAAACTGTGGAATTTAAATTATTTTGAATTGATGCTTCTATTAACGTCTGATTATTTAATGTGACAGCAACTATTCAAAAACATGCGTTGCTTCTAAGAATAAAAGAAAAACTTCTGATTTATATAAAAAATTATGCATCGTAAGGAATTTTTCTTGTTAACAAACATAACTGATTATTACTAATAAATAGATTTTTGTAATCCGCATTTGTAAGTTAGGAATTTACATATATTTTAACTATTAAGTTAAATGCACTGAATTTATTAGGAAGGGTATCAAATCGAGTTAAACTAACTCATATTTTATTTCAATAAATGTTAGAGACATTGATATTTAATAATACTATTATGTTAGCGAAATTGATATTTAATTAACATATTACGTTGGAAACATTGATATTTAACTAAACTATTTTGTTAGAAACATTGATATTTAATTAAACTATTGCGATAGGGACATTAAAATTTAATTCAACAATTATGTTAGAGACATTGATACGTACTAAGCCTATTGTTCAAATTATTTTAGAGCGCTGAAATCACTCAAAACTATATAATACTTTTTTGTGAAAAAAATACATATTATAATTGAAAAGCACTTGAACGCATTACGAATCTTCAGAATTTTTTTTAATATTATGAAATTGCTCTATCATATATAGTAAATTATTTACTCTAATCTTCGAAAACTACTTTAAGATAATCAGAAGTACTGTTTCTGAGTGATTATGCTCTTTTTTTAACATAATTGAATTTATATTTTTTGGAAACTCTTAAATTTCTTGAATTAATTACAAAACGTATCTTGAATATAAATAAATAATAGACGTTAAAACCATAGGAGCAACCGGGCAACTTATCCAGATTTCTTAAAGATTTTTTTAACCATTTCAACGAATAAATAACAGACTTGACGATTTTCTTTTAATTTCGGAAGCAATCACTAAGTCTAATGTTATCAAAAACTGATTAGACTGTAAAAAAATCCTCTTTAGAAATCTGAAAAAATTGATTTGGTTTGCGGTTTTTTGTAGTAAATCATTGACAGAATGCATTTGAATTCCAAAATTTTATTTCATTATTTTCGGAATAATAAGAAATAATGTTAATTTGATAAGAATTTGATATAAATTCCTTATTTTGTGAAAGCTAAGGACTGCATACAGTTGGAAATCCCAAAGAAAGCTGAAACGTACCGTATTATGGTTCAGATTGCCGATATTATAGCTCAACTTTGATCCAATTTTTGAGATTCTAAAATCAAAAGATGCATACATTAAAATATCATTATTTAATAAAACACAAAATAATCTGGATTTTATAATCTTCATACTCTGAACCGCTGCAAATTCGAAACAGCAATAAATAATATTAGAAAATATATTTAATAGTTAGAGCAATCCCTTTAATTAAATTCGAATAATTTCAACTGATCTAATCTTTGATTCTATTATTTCAGCTGCCAAGGACTTCGAAGACTTTATGAATTTGGCCAAACAGGCTAGAACATTTGCAAATGAAGGTCTTTTCGTTTATGCCGCCTCTGTTGCAATTTTGCACAGAGCTGACTGCAGAGGGGTAACTGTCCCACCCATCCAAGAAATCTTCCCTGATAGATTCGTCCCAACTGAAACCATCAGTTTGGCCCAGAAAGAAGTTGCTAATCACCCTGACAAGGTAAGCTGTCAAAAACACTGAATTTATTCTATTTTGTTTTTATAAAATGATTTATGTTCAGATAAAGAAATTTATTGCATTATTTTTTATATTCAACAATAAAACATAAGTACCACCTAAAATTCATTATAATATATTGTTTTACCTTCATAAGTGTTATTATTTCTTTTTTAATTGAAATACAAACAATAAAAATTCAACTATCTCATTGAAAAAACTAGGACTGAGATTTTATCCATTTATTTATTTTTATCACTCTTATAACAAAACTATTTCTATAACTTGGTTAGTTACCGCAATAAAAATTATTTTTTTAAACATATGTTTATTTTTTTAATAAAATTAAATCTGTAATTTAAAACCATAAAATAAAGTTAACCTTTTGAAAGCATACGGGTTTATACACTAATGACGTAATCGAAAAAATATAAGACTCAAATTTCAAATGTTTGCGAATTCCAGAATTAGTTAATCATCAATAAATGAAGTTTATTGTTTTAAATTTAAATATGTCGGCTGTTCGACGCTGGTGATTAAGTAAAGATAAAATAATATGTTTTAAATTTAAAAATGAAACTATTCTCATCTCTTTTAGTAACTCAATGGATTCTGATTTTGAAAAGAACTCATTTCTGTAATTATAGCTAGACTTCCATATTTTTTCTAAATTTTAAAAAAGACACGTCAAGTTTCAAAGTCAGATAGATTCCCTTTTCTAATTTTAGATTATAAAATTTATTAACTATTTTGTGATGTGCAAGTAACGTTATTCTAAAAAAAAAAAGAAAATAGATACTAATAGAGACTATTTTTAAAAAAACAAATACTAGTTAGAGACGCATAAGCTGCCATATGCCAAAATTTCCAAATCCAGTTATCTTCCGATTTTGTTCCCATAACCAAATAGATTTTATCAATACAAATAAAACTATATATATAATGATAATATCTTTCTAGAAATAATATCCTTCTGAAAATAGTTTTTCATAATTAGTTGGATTTTTAAACCAGATAGATATAAAAGGAAAACTTTCTTTCAAAATTTCTCTTTATCTATTTCAAACTAAAAAATAAGAAAAATAAGAAAATATATCAATTACAATTTACCTCATTTTAACACAAAATATTTATTAAAAGTAATCTATCTGGTTTTGAAATTATTCGTCCAAGAGTTTTGTTAAATTCAAAATAATAATAATAATAGCATATCAAGATTTAATAAAATTTGAAATAGAAAATCTAAAGTAATCTATCTGGTTTTGGAATTATTTGTCCCCGTGTTTTGTAAAATTCAAAAAATAAATTACTGCTTATCGAGATTTAATAAAATTTGAAATATAAAATCTATAGTAATCTATCTGGTTTTGGAATTATTTGTCTCCGAGTTTTGTAAAATTCAAAAAATAAATAACTGCTTATCAAGATTTAATAAAATTTGAAATGGAAAATCTATAATAATCTATCTGGTTTTGGAATTATTTGTCTCAGAGTTTTGTAAAACTCAAAAAATAAATAACTGCTTATCAAGATTTAATAAAATTTGAAATAGAAACTAAAAAATTCATGTTCCAGGACATCAAAGTTGAAATTGAATCTACTGGTAACATCTTGGATCCAGAATACAGAATGAGCTATTTCCGAGAAGACGTTGGCACCAATGCTCATCATTGGCACTGGCATATCGTCTACCCTGCTACCTGGAGGCCAGAGGTCATGGGATCAATTAAGGACAGAAAGGGTGAACTTTTCTATTACATGCATCAACAGATGTGCGCCAGGTAAAGACAATAGCATTTTAAAATTTGCTTGTATAATATATTAGTCTCAATAACTTTTCTTAAAGAAAAATAACAAATATCTGTAAAACTTTCCTAAAATTACAAAATAAGTAAACTATGAGTTACAATATAAACATATTCGTGAAAAGTTTTTGACAATTTCATCGTAGTATTCTATCAAAATTTTTAAATTTTTCAACATTGTGAATGATCTACTTTAAACGGAATATCACTACCTCACGCTTTATAAATTTTTCGGGGTAAGGTTCACCCTTAGTAGGGGAACATAGTGAGCTGCTTCATAAACTTACAAATTTGGGATTCTGCTCTCCGTAGTATATTTTCCCCTCAAGACATTCAACAGTTCTTATGAATATACTCAATAAAGAAATACATATTTTGTATAAGCTAAACAATTACTTGCACATTTATGTTTAAATAAAATTTAATTTTCTATTAACCACCATGTTGATTTTACAACATAAACATGGTCTGATATTATATTCAAATATACGTTTCTATTTTATTAAAATTCTTTGGTCGTTAGTAATGGGAAGTTTTTCTGCATAAATGCTAATAATAACATTATTGTGCTACTACTTTTACTTTTTTAAAAATATAAATATTCCTTTTCAAATAACACTAAGCAGTAATTAAGTTAACTCAGAGTATAAGTAGTCCGAAATGTTGTCCACTGAATCAATTTGAGAAAATATTTTTTTTAAGGAATACCTAAGATTATTAAAGAAACCGAAGTTATTATTCACTAAACAGATTTAGCTTTAAGCAAACTAAAATAAAATACTCAATAATTCATTATTAAACTAATTTTTTTGTAAAAAAATCTAATTTTGTTAATTAAATATTTAATCTATTTATATTATATTATATTCATATCCTAACCAAGAGTGATCATTCAAATTGTTAAAAACTAATCAAAATAACAATTAGTTAAATTTTTTAATTAGCAAAATTCTCAATTAGTTAAATAATTGAGAATCTTTTGAAAACCTCCGAAATATTTCTCTATCGCTTCTTACGAAGTAACTGCTAATGTAAATGTTATAACCTTAAAATTCAACAGTTACTGAGTTATATATTTTTAACTCTTTGTTAATGGGCTGATAAAATAATATACCAGCAAAGTATGGAAACTAGGTTTGACTATTTGTATAGCCTTGGTAAGTTCAAATTGCCTCCTTTCCTAGAATGACACCATTTTTTTAATTATGTCATTTTTTTTGGAAAACAGTGCGCATAAAAAAAAATGGTTTGCAAATTTTACCAGAAACGGATCTAGGGTTGACAGCGCCTAGGATCTGTGTTCGAGTTTTTTTTTTTTTCTTTTTTATCAAATTTCAAATTGCCTCTTTTCTATTCTAAAACCCTTTTTTTAATCATGTCATTGGTTTGGAAAACAGTGCACACAAAAAAATGGTTGGTAAATTTTACCAGAATTGGATCTAAGGTTGACAGTTCCTAGGAACTGTATACTAGTTTGTTTTTTTTTTCGAATTTCAAAATACCTTCTTTTCCATATTAGAATCCTTTTCTTGTTTGGAAAACAGTGCGTACCGAAAACATGGTCGGTAAATTTTACCAGAAACCTAATACTATATTAATGGTTTTATTTAACAGTCTGGCAATGATTTTATTTTACAAATTACTTCCTTTTCTACATTGAGGCCCCTTTTTTAATCAAGTCATTTGTTTGTAAAACAGTGCGAGAAGAAAAAATAGTTGGTGAATTGATTATTTTATTCCACAGTAGGGTTATCATTGTTTGATAAAAAAAATTATTTTAAAGTTTTTCTTTTTAAATTTTATCTAGAATATGGCTGTATTAATAATTAAGCGTTCTTTTTGACTTCCAGATACGATTGCGAACGTTTGTCCAATGGAATGAGAAGAATGATCCCCTTCCATAACTTCGAAGAGAACCTTGAAGGATACGCTCCTCACTTGACCTCTCTGGTCAGTGGTCTCCAATACTCCTCCAGACCACAAGGCTTCTCACTCCATGATCTCAAGGATGTTGATGTACAAGACATGACCCGTTGGAGAGAAAGAATCATTGAAGCTATCCACATCGGATACGTTGAAAATGAAAACCATCAACAAGTCAAATTAACACCAGAAAACGGTATTGATATTTTGGGAGCTTTGCTTGAGTCTAGCTATGAATCCACAAACAAATTGTTTTATGGAAGTCTTCACAACTGGGGACACGTAATGATGGCCAACATCACTGATCCAGATGGTCGATTCAATGTAAATACACATATATATTTCCATCTAAGTCTGAAAAAGCTTAAAAACTCATATTTTTTGCCTGATGCAACAAATTATTTTTCTTATAGGAAAATCCAGGTGTAATGAGTGATACTTCAACTTCTCTTCGTGATCCAATTTTCTACAGATATCATCGATTCATTGATAATATCTTCCAAGAATACAAATCAACATTGACTCCATACACCAAGGCCGATGTAAGTTATTTTATTTCAAATTTTAAAAATATCTTTTACAAAAATAAAGAGAACCATTTCTGATTTTTTTTCTTTAATTAAATTACATCAAAACTCTAGATTAGATTGTTTAAAGCAAATTTAAATAAATAAACTCTTGATTGTTTAAAATAATTTAATCTTTTACAAAAATAAAGAGAACTATTTCTGATTTTTTTCCTTAATTAAATTACATCAAAATTCTGGATTGTTTAAAACAAATTTTAAAAAATTTCTTATTTCATTTCACTGCTAACCATAAACATACTTTAAACCCTCGTCCAACAACAATATCCAACAACAACAAAGTTAGTTTGGTTTGAACCAACCAATGAATCACCATTGTCTCTATGCACCAAGGCTGATGCAAGTTATTTTATGATAAATTTTAACAATATCTTTAACTAACAAAAATAAAGAAAACTATTTCTGATTTTTGTCTTTAATTAAACTACATCAAAACTCTAGATAGTTTAAAACAAATTTAAATGAATATCCTATTTCATTTCACTGCTAACCATAAAGCATACTTTAAACTATTGTTCAACAACAACAATGTTGATTTGTTAGCTTAAACGAGCCACCAAATCAGCATTGACTCCATACACCAAGGTCAATGTAAGTCACTTTATTATACATTTTAACAATATCTTCAACATATAACTAAAATGAAGAAATTATATCTGATTTTTGTCTTTAAATAAATTACATTAAAACACTTGATTGCTTAAAACAAATTTAAGTAAATTTCTAATTTCATTTAACTTCTAACCATGTAACTTTTTAATTTTAATTTTCATTTTTCTCTCTTACCTGCTTTGCTTGTTAATGATCTAAAAAACTATAGATACTTCCCAAAAAATTGAATTATCTTTTAACATAAAAGATACAGCCTTTACCTGCCTTTTCGAATTTTGAGCTAATTTTCATTTTAAAAAATTAATACAAAATTTTCTTCATTTAAAAATAACAATATTTATTAATTTAAAATAACTAAAAATTGTGAATTTGGAAACTAATTTTAATTAAAACATTCACTGACTTTGCTAACCAAATTTTTTAATAATTCTGGACTAAATTATTAGCAATATTTGCTAACAAATATTTCTAAAACAGTCTTGTGATAATGTCATTCTCTTGATAAAACTAAAATAATTATGCATTGAGAAAAAGTAGAGTCAAAACTACCAGAATATGGTAAGTTTTAACATGTTCCTGGCTCTATGGGAACACCAAAAAGCTCGCAAATTTTTATCGAAGAGCTTTGGTAGTGAATTTGGTAAAAATTAACGATAAAAGATGGTTTTATAATAAGCGATAAAATTTAATAAATGAGGTAAAATTGGGTAATCTTATCATGATACCTTAGGATATGACATAAAAACCATTTAATTGGTTACATTTACTTTTCAGTTTTGTATTTTTTTTCTAAATGTGTCGTAATAAAAACTAGAATTTTGAAAATGTATACGAATGGGAAAATATCAATCCATACGAATGGGAAAATATCAATTAATAGTTTCAAAATAGATCTAATAAAGATAATCTATTGCAAGTTAATTGCTAATTCATTAGTAGTTTACTAATTCAATAATATCTATCCTTAGCTTGACTTCCCAGGTGTTCAAATCGTCAACGTAACTGTCAATGCTAAAGTTCCCAACCTCGTCACAACCCACATGAAAACTGATGAACTTGAACTGACCCATGGTATCGACTTTGGTACTACTCATTCCGTAAAAGTAGGTTTTCTACAACTGCTTTCACAAAATACTTACAATTTTTCACTTACGTATTTGTAAAAGATTCTGTTTTTGACAATTGTTATTCTTATTTCAATTTTAAATTACTTCTAGGTTCTGTACCAACACTTGGACCACGAACCTTTCACCTACACCATCAATCTTGACAATGGATCTGGAGCAACCAAGGCAACAGTCAGAATTTTCCTCGGACCTAAATACGATGAATTAGGTAACCGATTGGACCCTGAGCATCAACGAACTTTGTGCATCGAATTGGACAAATTCCAAGTTGACTGTAAGTTCCCTCATTATTTCGAAATTATGCATTGTAGAAAAATATATAAATGAAATTAAGTGGTATTATAATTTTGAAACTAGTCTTCCAATCCGCAGAAAGATTTAAGTCCGCCATCAAAGTCAAAGCACGGTTTACGCTTCATTCCAAAAGAAAAAAATTATGAGACTTTAAACAAATTAAAAATGATAGCTTTGTAATTATTTTTGTTTCTAGACTAATGTTACATCAAAATTGTGTACTTAAAAAACTTAAAGAGTCCAAAACTGCTTCCACATTACTATCTTGGAGTATCGTTTAAACTTAATCACTTTACCCATATACCAATTTAACTTCATCTACAAAATCGATTTCGAAAGTCTTATTTAATTTTTAGTGGCTATAAGAACTAGTTAATTGTTTTTAATCAGGGAAATCTATTTAGCAATAATGCAAAAAGTTAATTCCTATTTCTTTGAAAATTTCAAATAATTACTTTTTATTAATTATCTTAATTACATATGTTGACTGAACTCAGTTTTAAATATAATTTATTTTATAAACGACGTTGAAAAGCTGAACCAATTCTGAGTTTACGACTATCAATATTCAATCCGTAACCTTGTAGCTTTGAAGCCAATCCAGAAGATCTCCCGAATTAAGCATTGGGGGACAAATTAGTTTTCGTGGGGGACTTTTTGATGGAACTCACCCCGATTTGCGTTACATAGAGTAGAAAACCCCCAAAACCCTCCCATGGTTACCCAAAAGGCAAGGGAATTCAAACCCATGATCCATCTATCACTGAAGATATTTTTATGTCAACATTGTGATCTGTGTGCGACGGAAGCAGGATTCGTGTAAACCAGCCAACGCTGGGATTCATACCTAAGTTAACCACATAGAGAGATGATTGCCTGAGTCACTGCATCTTTAAAAGAATACATAATCATACAATGTTTAAAAAAAATTATAAAACACATTATTTTAAATAAACTTGGGTCTTTTTTTGTTTTCAGTGACCGCTGGCAAGAACACAATCACCAGAGATCACAAACACTCAAGTGTTACAGTCTCTGAATCACACTCTTTTGCCAAACTTTTGGCTGGTGAAGGTGTAAGTGAAGCAACCACTGAATTCTGTAGCTGTGGATGGCCAGAACATATGCTTATCCCCCGTGGTAGCCACAAGGGAACTGAGTTTGATCTTTTCGTTATGTTGACTGATTACACCAAGGATGCTGTAAGTATCTAAACTCTAACTCATATTGCATTAATTTTTACAAGTCGTATTAATTATCTCGTATCATGTTAATTATTCTAATAGTATTAATATCCACATGTCGTATTACTTTCACATATCCTACTAGCAATCCCATAACGTAATTGCCACTTATGATATTATTTTCACATACCGTGTTAATTTTTCAAGTCGAATTAATTATCCGGAATTCTATTAGTTATTTCTTACTATATTATTTTGCTCATATCATATTGATTTTTACATGCCGTATTAGTTTTCACGAGTCGTATTAATTATCCCATATCGTAATTGCCATATATACTAATTTTCATGAGTCGCACTAATTATCAAAAGTCGTATTAATTATCCCGTTTAGTATTAATTATCTCTTACTATATTAATTTACTCAAAACGTATTAATTTTTACACACCGTCTTCATTTTGCCTAGCTGTATTAATTATTCCATATCATCAAAAGCATTAAATTTAATGTTTTATATCCCTCAACACATCTGATCATTGTAGGAAATAAAACAAAAAAATAAAAAGAGAATAAGGGAATGATTTCTGTATCATCACTGGAAATTGAATTAAGAAAATTTTAATAGATTAAATAACTCTTGCATCATTCTGCCATGTTGTATAATCGATTTAAAATCACGTAAAAAATGTCCTAACGTTTTATATTTCCCGTTCTACCAAATATTTAAAAGCTCTCATTTCGTCAATAGTCACATAATTTCATGGTGATATGATTGTCAAAAACAGTGGAATACAGCTCAAAGATTGCTGATACGTCAAAATTGAGTATTATATTTTTGAAAGTGATCGATTAATAAATTTTTTCTTCTCAACAAATTTCAAACTATAATCAGGTTTCTTTCCAATGCCCACCTGGAGAATGACCTTTCGTCATACAGGCATCTGAAGGCAGGTTTGTTAAACTCTCTTTCAGGGGCACCATTTTAGGTGGGAAAACGTTGCTCCCACAGTAAAGACAGATAGTACAGAGAAAGGAAAAACATTCATGCCTTGACCGGGATTTGAACCCAGAACCTTTCTGATGCAAGTCCAGCCCTCTGACCCCTACACAAACCGTTCGCACTATAATCGAAATTAATTTCACAATTTAATAATATTTTTAAGAGCTTCTGAAAGTTTTTCTAAGTTTAAATATTTCTATGCATGTGATATCAGAAAAGGAAATTTTATAATGTAATTAGGTTACAATATATATAGAAAAAAATTTATGGTTCGATTCTTATATCAGACAAGCTTCATCAGCAAAAAGTGAGTAAAATTAATATCAAATCATTTCCAACGTCACAGTTACTTTTTTCATGATGCCCAAACTTATAGTTGTTACGGGAATGCAATTTAGTTTTCAGATATTTATAAGACTCTGAGCAACTTAGAATTTTCTTACAATAACGATGTAAAATGCTAAATTAAATGATGAATGTTTTTTTTTTTTCACTTTCAGGTTGATGGAGAGAGCAGCGGAATTTGCCAAGATGCCATCAGTTACTGCGGTGCCAAGGACCAGAAATACCCAGACAAGAAACCAATGGGTTTCCCATTCGATCGCGTGATCCAAGCTGGCACAGTTCACGAATTCCTGACTCCAAACATGAGTGTTACCGATGTCAAGATCAAGCACCAAGTCTAAATAAGCTGAACCACAATAAGACTTTCATAAAAACAATTTCCTTTCAATTTCTGTACATTAACTTAATCAACTAGAGTACCTGGGTGATATAAAATACTTTGTCCAAAAACTGATTAAATAAATAAAAATGAATAAATAAAACTTATTTCAGCTTAATTGTTGTTTTCTTTTCATACTTAAAGATCACTAGATAAAATATTAATATTTTGAATACTTATGCAAGAATCTTTCATAAATTTTTGAGACTATTGATGAAATCACAAATCACTTAGAAATGGAGATCTTAGTGGATTAACTAGATAAAAGACATTTTAGAAACTTAAAAGAATATCGAATATGTAATTTAGATCAGTTGTCTCAAAACTCACAGATTTGAAAATTCTAGTAACCGGAAAAACGTTTTGCAACGTTTTGTCAATATTTTACAGTGGAAATCAAAGAATTTCAAATTTCAAAAATAATTACAAAGTTATTCAAAAGATGGCAATGTTAACTAAGAAAGCTATAGAACAATAATTTCTGCCTAACGTCATACGATTCCAACTGAAATATTTGCACAAGTTTCATTTAAATTTATTCTTAAACTGAACCACATTGTAGCTGCAACGGGTTTCTTTTTCAACATTTAGCAAAAATTAATTATGATTTTTCTCAAATGATGGCGCCAATTTTTGATCAACCAATTAAATTAAGTTAACCTATTAACTTAAATTATTTTAAAACTTGATGAGGTTATCTACGCACATTCTTAAAAAGGAAGATCTTAGTGGATTAACTAATTAAATGACATTTTAGAGAATTAAAGAAAATCAAATGTGTAATTTATTCCAGCTGGCTCAAAACTTGCCAATTTGAAAATTCAAACGGTTTGCTGCGTTCTGCAACAGTTTTCTGCAACGGGTAGTTACTTTGAAAATAATTAGTTTATAATTTTTCTCAAATACTAGCGCCTTCTTTTGATCAACCTATTAACTTAGGTTAACCAATTAACTTGAGTTAATCTATTTATTTAAATTATATGATACTTAATGAGGATAAACTTTCAGGTTTCCAAAGAGGAACGTAAGAAACCGTACAATAATCTCTTCCCGTTTTTTTTTTTTTTTTTCAGTTGATTTTTCAAGTTTCAGATCATTTTAAGTATATCCAGTAGTAGACCTGAAAACCAAAACCGTGTGTGATGCTAAAATAGATAAAAGAGAAGAAATTTTAAGAAATTTTAAAAAGCTATGGGACTTATACATTTTTTAGTTTGCTAAGCGAAACTATGAGTTTTTATTGCCTAACTTACTTTTTTAAATTTAATTGAAAGCGTCTGTTTGAATACGATATCGTGGGTTTTTTTCAAATTTTTTATAATTTTTCCTCTATGAGATTCAATTAGAAGCAGTTTCGAATAAAAGAATAGATCTGATAATTTTCAATAATACCGATATATTTAAGTATAGAAATCTTTTAAGTAGATAACAAAAAGTATTTTAATTTAGACTCGAGAAGTACCGTAAAAATTTAGACTTAACTTTAGATTTAGCTTTAATTCATTTTGACTAGAGAAGTACCGTAAAAATTTACCCTTAAATATAGATTTCATTTTAGTGAATTTAGACTGAAGAAATACCGTAAAAATTTAGTTTTCACTTTAGTTAATTTAGACTAGAGAAGTACCGTAAAAATTTAGACTTAACTTTAGATTTCACTTTAGTTAATTTAGCCTCGAGAAGTACCGTATAAATTTAGACTTAACTTTAGATTTCACTTTAGTTAATTTAGACTAGCTAAGTACCGAACCTAGAGTAGTAATGAGCAAAAAAAAAAAAAAAGATGTCACCCTGAATATCACCTGATAATATCACCTGATGTAAAAATATCACCTGAGCGTTTTTTTCTAATGATCGGATCTGCACCCAATTAACATTAATCTTTAAGTTTTAATGGACTGATCTCAAATATATTAACCAATCAGTAGTAACTATTAAGTTACAAATTCAGACCCCGAAATAAACTTTTTCTGAATAAACAAAACTTCTTCTTGGAGAATTTCTATTATTAACCAGTAAAATAAGTGGGTAATTGCAATTTGGAAAAACAATTGAATTAATTTCGCCTGGAGTGTAGTCAATTGGTCCCTTAATGTTAATTTCACTTTTCGCGTTTTTCGTCATCCGTTATATCCCTATAACTAATTGCGCAATTCGAAGTAATCAAACCACTTAAAATTAATTTTTAAATTGAAAAGCTCAGTGGATAAATGATTTAAATTACATTTTAGGGAAACTGAGAATGAGCTTTGAAGTGTATACCTTAACAGTTGGAAGTAAAAACTCAGATCTAAGCGACAATTTAATGAATATGAGTTGCCTTAATTTCTTGTTCGCAAGCTTCTAATTAGTGAAATTTATAAATATTTAAGTTGTTTGCTTCGTGGCATTTCTTCTAAGGTTATTTGTCAAATTTCATGTTTCTTTATTGCTAAATACTCTTAAATCATTCTTCTACTTCAAAAACACTCAAATCTTTCCCTTATATCCTTTTGCCACTGAGATCTTCGAACTTAAGAAGCAAATCCTTTATCCACTTAGCAAAATAAACGAATGTTGTATAAACTGTAAAAAAAATTGGTGCAACTTAATTCTAGAAATGGGCACAACAACCTTACATCAAAGCGAAACCACTGTTTCATTCCACCAAAGTAGTGGAGCGAAACAGTCTTACTGCGTAGTAAAACTTAGAAAAAGTTCTTTAACACGTTGAATACCTCGCTAATTTTGCATGGCTTGCCCGTCTAGCCAAAATGATTTTCTCAGTATGTATTGCATTAATTTCTTCAAACCATTTTAGTAACGATAATAATATTAAAAAAACTAAAAGCATTAAAATTTTACTCGAACTATGTGTTTCTAATAATCTTGGCTTCGCCGGTCACCGGTGACCCCCGTGGCGCTACGAACAAACTCAGGCTGGTGACCCCCATGGCATTCAACGTGTTAATACTACTTGATGTATAGTAGCTGCCACGATTTTTTAATACTCAGTAGTGCTAAATTTTATAATTACTGAAAGCAACAAACTCAGCCTAAACGTAAACAATCTTCTAACGATTTTCAAAGCGCTCTAACATTGGTGTCTTTAGGTTTGGTTTCACATAGGGTGTGAATTTGGTTTTACATTGGTTTTACATATGGTGTGAATGCGTGTGAACAACATTAACAAAGGAGTGTAAGCAACATTACAACATTGCATTAGTGTAATGGAAACATTACAAGTGTTTAGATTTAACTACACCCTATAAACTGCATAAGAACGCCCGATTTAGTGTTAGCTTGAAATAAATTGCAACTTTGCATATTTTTTGGGGGGCTTTCATAATGAAATTCAAATATATATATTACACCACAGTTTTTATACTGTAGTAAGAATATATGAGCTTTACACGAGAAATCTCAAATTTTTCAAAAATGTATTTTACAAATTATAGCGGATTTAATTTGCTGCCAAAAAAGAGGTTTTCTAAGATTACACGTTAACTTCTTTTTTTTTTTTCAGATTGTTAAATACACTAAGAACATTCTCCTACTCTAAAATTACTCAGACTGCCTTTTGAACCTTTCATTTACTGAGATCTTTGCAATTCAAACACTTAGTAAAATAAATGAATGTTGTATATTAAGACACTTAGTAAAGTAAATGAATGTTGTATATTAAGACACTTAGTAAAATAAATTAATGCTGTATATTGAGACGCTTAGTAAAGTAAATGAATGTTGTATATCAAGACACTTAATAAAATAAATGAATGTCGTATATTAAGATTAAGACAAATTTACCCGAGAAACAACGAATTTTTCAAAAATGTCACTTATAAATACTCAGCGCAGTTTCAGCAATTAATGACATGATTTCAATTAATGAAATTCTGATGAAAGGAAACGTCAAAAAACTCTATGCAATTGACAGAGCAAATAACTAGATTTTTTTTTTTTGATAAATTTGATAGTTCTAAATTTTTTTTCCAATAACATTTTTAAGTATTAAATTCCTGCTTTATTCTTGTCTATTCGAAAAAATATTTGAAACATGAAACCATTTCGAAATATTAGATAAATGAATTAAGTGATTCTACGAGCTTTATTAAGGGGAAACAACTCTATGAAATTGTTGAAAAATAAACTTTTTTTTTTCTTCTTGCATGGTTTAAAAGCATATACAGCGCGCAAAAAAAAAGAAGAAAAAGACTATTACCCCGAATAACTTTTGTTCCAATTTTCGCGTACTAACGTGTCAGTCTCAATTGTTTTTAAGGGTGGCTTCAAATATTTTAATTATTTAATGCTAATTATTAATTCACGTCTCGAGACTTTCACGTCTGGCGAGCACTGCGAATTGAAGCAAATGTTTAGAGCACTCAAAAATAGGCAACCATTTCAAGACTCGCTGGACGTTACTGAGGAAAGCAAAAGTGGTTTAAAAAAATTTATAGTTGCCAATGAAAACCGAAAAATAAAAGTGGAAAGCAAAATTTGGAAAAACCATGGAAGCAAAGAGTGAATCAGAGAATGAAAACCGTACCAATGCAACGTTGGCTATATGGGACAAGCTAAACGTGCTTTAAAATTTAGACTAAAGGAACATAGAAGATAAATCCGTTATCAAAAATGCGATAAATCATCTATTGCCACAATATTCTTTGAATCTAGGGGATAAATTCAATTTCAATAATGCCAAAATTCGTACCACCTCTGTCGCATTAGCTCATCTTGATACCCGGGAATCTAGTCATATTCATATGAATGTCGATTCACTTATTAATGATATTAGTTCCTCGCCATCTCTCCATAGATTATGGAAATGCATTATGCCTTGATTTGGCTTTCTCGGCTACTGCAATTTTCCAATTCTTTTTAAAAAATTTATGTCTTATTTTACTCTCGGGTACTGTGGTTTTTCCTGTTTTATTTTTCCCCTTTTTTTCATTTATTGTTGGCAACTTTACATTATTTTTTTAAATCCCTTTTGTTTTCCTCATTCCCGTCTGACGAGTCTTTAGAATGAGCGTTTATTTTTGAGCACTCGAGACAAGTCGATTTTTATTACCATATTTTTTTCAGGCCAAGAAAGTTTTAACCAACAAGTATACTGTGTTACATTTGGGTTTTGATCATTATTTTGATCAGAATCTTATGCTGACAGAAGTAAACATTCGTATATTACTATTTTAACAGGATTCCTTTTTGCCTTAAAATATTAAGAAAACCGCGGAATCTATATTGTAATTAAGTTATCCTTAACTTTGAAATGCCAAAACTTATGATTTTCTAACCAGATATTAGATGTTATTGAAATCGATTATTGAATGTTGGGGTAAATATGAACGCAATAAAGTTCATTTGTCTTCTTAGTTTTGCTGCCACCATTACAGTTTCTAAAGGACCTTACGAACTCTGTTTTAAAGGAGACTATTGTATCAGATATATGCATGTAGTGATGGTAAAAATCGTAAATTAAGTACGTAATAAAAGGAATTAAGCAAAAAAATTACAGCAGTGATATTTGGAGAAAAATATAGCTGATCGTAATGAAGGAACATGTTGAGTGAAATTTTTTGTCGAATTTACAAAAATACGTTACGGAATGTATAGAAACATCAGGATGCTATTTTTAAATTATCCTTCTCCAAAGAAAGCCACGTAACTCACATATTTGGCGGAATGAAACGGTTTTTAAAAATTGAATCATACAATATCTTTGAAGAAACATTTTTCAATGTTTTTAAAATGCCCCTTAACAATCCCTAGTTCCTTCTAATTATAGAAAAAAGAAATATAGTGAATTATATAAAACCTTGTGAATGTGCATTTATCGTCATAATTTCTTCCAGATACACTAATTTTTTTAGGGATTTGCTCTACAACTCAGTATATAATTAAAATAATTAATGCAAATTTGGTTTTAGTTTAAAATTCTCATATTTGAAAAATTAAAAACAACTAATGTTAAATACAAATAATGTTAGAAAAAATGTTCATGTGTACTACACTAAAATGTTAGAAAATCATAAATAATTTATTAATTGATTCAAGTTTTATTTTCAAAGGAGATGAAAATGAAAACAATATTTGCTTTCTGAACCCAAAAAATATCTGTTGCCTAGAAACTTCAAGACATTTTTCTATTAACTATTTAATAAAAAGAGAAATTCACTTTAGGTTTTTCACTTCAGTTTTTATTTCAATATTTTTTTAATGTCTCAACTTGGTTGCTTAGTAACAGAGAAACTTTATTTTTCTCTTTCAATCACATAGTTACTTAATGGTTATCTTGAATTACTCCTCTTGCTATGGCTATATTGCTTGGACTTTATTTCTGGGACAACGCCAAATATATATAGCTTCCTAGGACCCCAATTTTTTAACCATTTTTTTTTTCAAAATTTAGTCTGCAATTTATTGCTCCATATATTTAGGGTCAAGAGTCGAAAAATGTTTTTAAAAAAATCACATGTTTATTTAAATAAAGTATGTTTTTGTATCTGATTACGTAACTTAATTAATAGTTAGCTCTAATTAAATAACATATCTGAAGTCAACCACTAGAACCATTGACACATAATTCGTGAAAATCCGATCATTAGAAGAAAAGTTCAATGTGATATTTTTTGTGCATTGTACCTGTTATTAACTGACGAAAAATACCACAATCATAGCATGAGATCTACGTCATAATTTTTTTCAAGTATAAATAAAAAATATTAGTTCTTAGAGGATTTTGGTATAATAAACAAAGAAGTATTAAGCACGACTAAACATTGATTGAGAAATTCAGAGCATTAGTATTAACAAAGTGATATTAGCAGAATAAAGCATTATCGCACTGAGAAAAGAATTCTATCAAAATTACCGTACTGTATTATAATAACATTTCTGTTTTAAAAAATATAATAACCCTTCATATAATAACTGTTTACCGGAAATTCTGGATTTCAAAATTATAGTTCTAATTACCACACATTTAGTAAAAATTTCAAAACTGAAAGGTAAATTTAACAGAATAAAGGTTTTTTATGCCATGCTCAAACGCATCATGTTAAAATTAACAAATTTTATGACAAATTATAAAACCATATTTTATTCTCAATTTTACCAAAATAATTACCAAAGTGCTCCGGTGATAATTACCAATTATTGTAGAGTTCCTATAGATCCAAAACACGATAAATTTTACCATATTCTGGTATTTACCATATTATATTCATATCCTTCAAGGCATGTAAGTATAAATGCTTTTTTGGAATTTTTAAATGCCCCTGGTATACCGGGCAATACATTTTCAAGCCCTAAATGTCGCTATTTTTTCGAACTTTAAACTTTAATTACTGTTTGGAAGCAGCGAAATTATTTAATAAACGAGAAATGTGTCCTTTAACTCTAGTAACTCTGAGCTTGCTTTATATTAAAAACAAATCGAGTGTTAAACAACATACGACAGCAGGCGTAGTAAAAAACTAAAACAACTGAAATCTCAACCGTTTACAATCTATTTTTTTTCACAATCAACATCATAAATATAGCACCATAACGGACCATTTTGAGATTTAAGAGTTACAAAATATCTTTGTAGTACACTTTCTGTGTGTGGTTAGTTAGGATTTCACCATATTACGAGTAACTTACCCATATTTAATCATCGTATTTTTGATAAAAATTACGAGCATATGCGTAAAAAAAACATTTATATTTGAAATCACATGCTCTTTTAAAATTCACTTTTTCACCCTCTTACTCTTTCACTTTAGCTATTTTTGATGAAAACTCTAACTAAGTAATATTTATAATTTGTATAAAATATTTATACCTATTTTAAAAATTTGTTGCTTATAATAGGTATAAAATAAATCTACAAATAAAATCTATGTACACATGATGAATCCTAACTTACATAGTTCACAGTTGTTAAAGATGTTCAATGGATGTTTTCTAACATCAAAATACCATTTATTTAATCATACATCTGATTAAATTTATGTTCACATAATTAATCCATAGATAATTCCTAGCGATCAAAGGTATATAATAAGTGTTTTCTCTGATCTAAAATACATTAATTAATAATGCGTCACATTAAATTTTTGTTTACATAATTAATCTTAACATAGTTCAGTTCTGGTAAAAGGTGATCAATAAATGGTTTCTGACATAGAAAAGGATTTAATGAAAGATACGTCATATTAAGTTTATGCACACATAATGAATTCTAACTTAGATAGTTTCTAGTAATTAAAGGTGCGAAATAAATGTTTTTACCAATTAAAAAACACTAATCAATTATATGTCATATTAAATTTATGTTCACGTAATGAATCCCAACATAGTTGATAGTGATTGATGGTGTTGAACAAATGCTTTATATAATCTATAAAAAAGAATTCAATAAAAATACTTCATATTAAATGTATGTTCACATAATGATTTCCAACTTAGAAAGCTCCTAATAATTAAAGGTGAGAAATAAATGTTATCTAACATCTAAAAAGCATAAATTAATATTACGTCATATTAAGTTTATGTTCACATAATGAATCTTAACATAGTTCGTAGTGACTAGTGTTGAATAAGTGTTCTCTAGCATCTATAAAAAAGAATTTAATTAATAATACGACAGATTAAATTTATGTTCACATTATGAATTCTAACTTAGGTTATTGCTAGTATTAAAAGACATTGAATGAATGTTTTCTAACACCTAAAAGATATTCCTTTAATAATAAAAGAGGAAACTAACAGAGTATTTTGTTACTTGTTATCAAAAATACTAACTTAGGAAAAACATAACTAAGAAAATTTTACAGTTCATTTGATAATAAAAAGTATAATCAAATCAAATATTTAAAACATTTCTTCTTTTAAACGAGACGAAAGTTTCTTTTCTTATCCATTACCTCAAATAAATACCTTCCTCAAACAATTAAACATGAAGAAAAAAATTACAAATCAAGGTTAAATTTTGTCAGAAAAGCATCGCTTTAAATTATTATCAATTAAATACTATCTCCCATCAATATAGAGTGATATCCAGAAGCTAAAATAGAATTTACCACTGTGTTTTACTTCTGTTGACTTCCGGTCGATCGGAAAGAGATGACCACGATAAATTTTCTTACTAAATAGCTTAAAAATAGCCCTAATCAGTCTTCTGAGAACATCATTCCTTTGATTTTCAGATAGCAGGATGCAGCCACGCATTCTTTTTCTATTTTTGATCGATTTTCTTTTCTTTTTTTGGTTTCTGTCAATTCCAGCACAGCAGCTCTTGGATAAGACACAATCTGGCAAACATTTCTTCGAAGATGAACTTCATATGAGGTATAAAACCATTGGGCTGGTGACAAAAGTTGCCAGTAGCTACTGAAGTGGAAGGGATCATAATTTCGGTTGTAACTGCCATCTTCCAAGCAATATGCCTGCCCAGGACAAGCAACGTCGTATTTTGCCTCTGTTTGAGCACTTAACCTCTCTTACCAGGGCAGTTTTGCCAGCAGAAGAGAGAGATTCAAGGCTCAAAAAGTTGGGCAGATTGCCTCGTGGAACCCTTTTCTCATGTTTCCATACTGAGCATCTCATTGAATCTCAAGAGCTTTTTGAAACTCTCCATGGTAAGAGCTATATTACTTTTTTTTCAATTTAAAACAAATATATTACAAAATTAATCTACCTTATATATATAAAAAAATAAGTCGAAATTAAAAAAATTTTACTAAGCATTTACAGGAACATCAAAGCTATTATTTGGATATTATGCATCATCCTATGTTAAAATATACAACTAGGATGTACTTTTTATAGGTATATATTGTGCATATTTTAACCCAGTAGTTTTTTTTTTTAATATTCAGTCGTTTATTACAATTTAATAATTTTTAAAATAAAAAAAATTTAAATAAAAGTGAGAATAGTGAAAAACTGAAAAAGAATTTGTATGGCAAAGAATTTCTTGGAATTTTTACTAAACATTTCCAGTGACTAAAGTAAACAAAGCAATTGTTTGTATATTATGTCTCATCCTATGTTAAAATGTACATCAATGATGTACTTTTTATAGGTATTTATGATGCATATTTTAACCCAGTAAATTTTTTTTAAATAATCAGTCGTTTATTTTAATTTAAAAATATTTAAGTCAAAAGAAATAAAAATCAAACGTAAGTATCGTGAAATATTGAAAAAGAATTTGTATGGTAATGAATTTCTTGGAAATTTAAATTCAAATATTTCAAACTTCAGTTTATAAAGTCCTATATAATTTTAAAAATTTACACTATAAGATTATAAATTACATAAAAAAAGAAGTCGGAATTAAAAATTTTACTAAACATTTTCAATGACTATCGTAAACAAATCAATTATTTGCATATTATATCTCATCCTATGTTAAAATGTACATCAATGATGTCCTTTTTATAAGTATTTATGATGCATATTTTAACCCAGTAGGTTTCTTTTAAATAATCAGTAGTTTATTATAATTTAATAATTTTTAAAGTCAAAAGAAATAAAAATCAAAAGTGAAAATCGTGAAAAATTAAAAAAAAAGGACTTGTATGGCAATGAATTTCTTAGAAATTTAAATTCAAAAAATTTCAAATTTCAGTTTATAAAATCCTATAATTTAATTCAGAAATATCATGTACACCATAACAAGAATAACAAAACAAAAAAGCTTTCAATTTCTAAGAAAATGCATATCAAAATAAGCTATTTTTCATAAGACAAAGGTTCGAACATCTAATTAATAAATTTTATCTTACGTATTTTTTAAAGTTATATAGTTAAAAGTTTCAACGTTTAAAGTTCAGAGTTTAAAAGTTCAAAGTTTAATATTTAAGTTGTTATTATTTAAGTTATTATTATTTACTTTATTTTTTATTGTATCTCTTAAATCTGATTTAAATGTAATCTTATTATTCAAATTTAAGTTGATGGTGTTAATCCTAGTTGATATTTCATTTTTTGGTGCAACATCTAATTTAAATTTAAGTAACTGGGCGTTTAATTAGTCAAATTTAAATTGATGATACTAAGTCTAATTGTTACTTAATTTTTAATTGTAGCACTTCAGTATTGATTTAAACGTAAATTGTTCTACAGCATCTTTACAAAATCATTTCAAAGACTGCAATCAATCTTTATAGGGTTTTTATAACGAAAGTGTTTCATAGAATTACTTTATTTGGTTTAATAACAAGAAAACAAATAAAATATCTTTTTTTAAATGTAAATTCAATTCTTTTTGCTTTGAATAGCTAAATAAAAACTGTAATACTATACATAAATTTACATAAATTAAAGATACGACTTTATTTCTGAAAAAAATTGTTTATAAACTAATTATTCACTATGCAAATCGATGTTACATTGCATTTGAAGAATTAAATAAAATATATAAAAAATTATTAAACTTGTATACATTCCACTAATGAATCAAAACATTTGTTGGTTACATTCTATTATATTTCAATGAATCTATAAAACTTACAGTTATAAGTGTCAGGAATAATGATAAATAGAAATGGTACTACAGTGTAAGAATTTTCATTCTAAAATTATAGTAAAATAATCTGCAGCAGTCTGTTCATTCAATTAACCATCAAATTAACTGTAAAGAACATTTTTTACCTTAACGGTTTTGAAACCGTTTATAACTAGTATGATTAAAAGGACCATGAATATAAAACTATTCGGTTTTTTAACCATTTACAAGTATCATGGTTTTGAAACCTTAAGGAAGAAATTTAACTGTACATTGGAGATAATTTAGCAGCATTATGGGGCTACCATGCATAAATGAGAGTATTATATTCTAATAGTCCAGGGTCACAAATTAGGGAGTGTAGGTCACTAGAAACTCTTCATGTGTTGAAGAGAATGGAGAAAATATAGTAGCGTCAAAGCTGGGACTCAAGCCTTAATTCTGTCGGTTATGAAATTGACGGATTAGTCCTCTCGTTTATTATACGTGTCCACCCATCTGCAAGGAACTAAATAACTTAATTAGGTGGGTTTAGTTGGTACGAAAATATTTTGGTTGTTTAACCGTATTAGGTGAATGCAGTTAACAAACGGTTTTTCTCCCATCTAACAGTTTGATTACCATCTAATTTATGACTATTTGACTGTTGTGTTAGAATATGGTAAATATGGAATAAATTGTTATTAAACCATTTTTTCCGAGAAATTTCTAGAAGTGTAATGGTTAATTTTTATCTCATAATGACGTTTTGTCTAATAATCGGATATTTATGTAATAAGATGGTAATGGTGTAATAAATAGTATGAGAGGCTAACTTTAAAATTGCTAAATAATTTGACCAGAGAATATTTTTAGTTATGAAATCAGTGACGAAAAGAATTCCTTTTTTTTTTTTTTTTTTTAATTTATTTAGTTTCTCAACCCTCAAAATAGCCCAGAAATGTGAAAAATGATCCAAACAGTTTAATCAAGAGAGTGGTTGAGAGTTTTAGCCTCATAATGTTAATTTTACTTTCTCACAGATTTCGTTCATTTATCCATTTCGTTCATTTATCAAACTCGCTCATCCATAAAGAATTTCTTTCAAATAATTTAAGATAGTTTATATTAACCAATTTAAGAAAGCTTATTACATTTTATTACTTAATTTACTTATTATCAAAAAATTTTGGAATTGTAATGATTCTTAATTTTTACATTATTTTAAACTATGAAATAATAGCTGTAAATAAACAATGTAAAATTATTTTTTAAATTTTTCTCAAGAACTAATGGACCAATTCCTTTCAAAATTTGTAATTTTTTTCCGCATGATTGAGGCAAAATAGGTATACTACATTACTGTTTGGGGATACATCCGTTTCAAAAGAAATGCATTGGCGTAGTGTTAGTCACTAAAACTTAAACATAATTAAAAAATTGCCTCATTAAACATTGCCACAAAAATATTATCACATTTTTATTAGATAACGTATGGCACCATAAACAGTTTCAAAATGAAACAATGAACTAGATCATTGTTTAATCTGTTTTGTTCAGGAATATTTCAGGGTATTACATACTAAAAAACTACAAACGTTGCTCTGAATAGCTAAGGTGTTATTCTTTAAGGTAATGTTTAAGTTATTGGCAATACTTCAACTAAAATGATAAAGCTATTTAATTAAAATAATTAAACTTTTAATTAAAATAATTAAATTGAATTAATTAAATTATTAGATTATTAGTTATTATTAGATTATTACACTTTTAATTAAAATAATTAAATTATTAGTTATACTTTAACTAAAATGATAAAACTATTTGGGACACATAATCTAAAATGATAAAGCTATTTGCGGCACTTAGCTATAAAACGCTAAGGAATTTTTTATGGTCTGCGTTTAACAGCCAACCTAATCCTGAGTTTATTTGTCGCAATGTTCAACTTGTAATTTTGAACCCAAACCAGGAGACATGGGAACTTCTGGATCAAGCATTGGGACAAATTAGCCTTAGAGGAGGACTTTCTGCTGGAAATTATCCACATTTACTTCACATGAAGAGTAAAACCTCTCACGATTTGACCGATAGCACGGGAATTCTAACCCATGAGCAATATACCCCTGAGAATATTTAAAATCAACTCTGTAGTCGGTGCAAGCTGGGAGCTGAGTTCGTACCAACCAGCCACAGCTGTGATTCTAAACTGGGTAACCTTATTGGGAGGCGAATGCTCGATCCCCTGAGCTACTGCGGTTTGAGAAGTTTTGCTTTATAACCGTCGTTTGAACAGCCGACCCAATTTCTGGGTTTCCGACTACTAATGTTTCGTAACCTTGCAATTTTGAACCTAATACAGAAGACAAGGGAACTCCTGTATCAAGTATTGGGAGAAATTTGCCTTCGTGGAGGACTTTTTGATGGGCTAACCCGCATAGCATAGAGAAATAAAACCACGAAAACCTCCCATAGTTAGCCTGATGGCTCTAACCCATGAACCGTCAACCACTGAGATCTGTCCAGCACTGTTTTATGTCAGCACTGTGGTCCGTGCGAGCCGGGTGCGGAATTCGCATTGACCAGCCATCGCTGGGACTCTAACCCGGTTTACTTCATTGGTAGGTGAACGCTCTATTGCGAGAGCCACCACAGCTCCAAGAGATTTTGTTGTAATGTTTAGTTCAGTTAGCTTTGTATGGTATTGATGGGATTTTTTTTTCTTTAGCTGCCAAGGATTTCGAAGATTTCATGCGCCTGGCTGAACAGGCTAGGGATATCGTTAACGAAGGCATGTTCGTTTATTCTACATCTGTAGCTCTTTTGCACAGAGATGACTGCCGAGGAGTAACTGTTCCCCCTATTCAAGAAATCTTTCCTGATAGATTCATCCCATCTGAAACAATCAATCAGGCAATTAAGGCAGATCTTCAACGAAAAGATGATGTAAGAATATTCTATTTTACATTGTTAAACCCTACCATTTATAAATATTTATCTGAAATTGATTTACTTCTTTTAGACTGCTCTTCAAATACTAGTTTGTCATAGAAAATAATGTTTTTACATTAAATTAATATGTTTTTTGTAACTGTTGTGAGTTCTTAACAGTTATTCTTAACGGTAAAGTCCTCAGTACTAATTAGGAAAATGGAGAAAAATGACTATATGAACAAAATTTGAGATCGAATTTTTAATATTTAGAAAGTTATTTTACCAATGCATTGCCTGGATTCATAAAAATATGTGAAAATTGAAAATTATTCATTAATTTTAAAAAATGTTCATATAGCTAGAAAGATCTCACTAAAAAGGCGCATTTTTGAAAAAGGTTAATAATTTTAAAAATTTAAAATAGTAGCCCATTTTAATGTTCAGTCTATTAGTTTAGCAATGCATAGTTTTAAATAATAACTTTGCTTCGATTTTGACGAGCTGTGAAATTTTTTTTTCTTTTAGTTTCTTCCGTGAAAGAATTTTGAAAAATAACCTTTATGAAAATTTGAAATAGTTTATAAAAGCATAATTTTCTATCGGTGATATTTAATTCAAAAACAAAATAAATAATTAGTTAAATATTATTTTCTCTATATAAATGAAAAAAATGACAAATAAATTTAGAAATAAACAAACTGCTATCAGACAATTTTATTTAATTTTAGTCTCTCTTTTTCCAAAACAAACATTCTATTTCTAAACGTTTTCGAGATTTATCAAAACCCTTAATTTCTATACAAAGCATTGCTTGTTAAAACCAATTAATATTGAAAATCACTAATAGAAAAGTGCTTAAAGTAACGTAATAGAGTTCCCTTTTTTTCCGGTTTCAATCAATTTCTGTGGCTTTACTTTTCAAAACAATATATAGCTGTAATATTATTCCTACAATAGTATATATATATAACGAAGTTTCTAGGAATTTACCATTTTATAAAAATCAAACAAGTTAAAAAATAATATCTTAACCTTTAACTATTTATACTTAAGAAAAATAAACTTCTCATACAAATATTTTTCTCCGCTAACATTTATATAAAAATATTAAAATATATCTAAATAAATAATCTAACGAAAAACTCGAAGTTAAAAATACGCTTAACAAAATTTTTAAGTCAAGTCACAAATTTAAATAACAATTAGAACTTGATTCAATTAAATTCTAGTTGCTGAATCTCTGTTACAAATGTCAGTAATTGCAATATTCATCCGGAAAAAAAAAAGATATCCGAATCTCTTTTATCATTAACAGATTTCAGACACCTGGTCTAAATGTTACTATCCAAAAGGGCAAAGTCTGAACAACTATTGACAAATTAAATGCAGACCCACTGATTTTTGAGAATTTATTAACAAGCTGCTAACACAATTTTTAATCAATGTCACAGATTCAAATAATTGCTAAAACTCAATTAGAAGTTATTTAGAAAAAATTCAGTAAGTTAAATATATTTTATTGCTATTGCAATATTCGTAAAATATTAATTTCTTTTTATCAATAAACACTTTTTAGGCTCCAGTTCTTGTTGATACTATCCAAACTGGTAACATTTTGGATCCTGAATACAAACTTGCTTACTTCCGAGAAGACATTGGCGCAAATGCTCACCATTGGCATTGGCACATTATTTACCCTGCCACATGGAGACCAGAAATCATGGGCAAGGTAAAGGACAGAAAAGGAGAACTTTTCTATTACATGCATCAACAAATGTGTGCCAGGTAACTGTCAAAATTAATTAATTATAAATTCATATTATAGAAATTTTAAATTTTTCTTTTTTCAAAATATAATTTTTAAATTTTATACATTATCATTTTTCAGAAGACATTCTTTCAATTTTTTAAAATACATTAAATTATTACTAAACTTCATCAATTCAGTATAATAAATCAAACTTCATCTTAATTGTATTTTATTTTAACTGCTTCAAATTATACAGAAGCTCTATACTTATTTTTTTACAATTTCTAATAAATTATATTTTATTATTTTCAGTGTAATAAAAAATTGTGATAATAAAATTATTTATTTTTAATAAAAATAATCAATGGAACTGTATAATTTTTTAGTTCGTGAACTATAATTTTTCATACTAATAACGTAGTTTAAAAATGTATGCTTAGTTTTTATGCTTAGCATAAGTTTTTATGTAATACTAATATAAAAAATTTTGAAAGCATGTTTTAGATTTAAAATTAAACTTTGAACCGATCATCCGCATGGTTCCCTATTTATTTATTTATTTATTGAAATTTTATTATTATTTACATCGAAAATTTTTAAAAACATATTTTAAATTTAAAATTAAACTTTAAACAGATGCTCTGCTTGGTTCCCTATTTATTCATTTATTTACTTATTTTTTTTATTTTTTTTTTTTTTGATATTTAAGAAAAACTAAGATTTGATAAATTGATAACGTTTTTTCTCTTAAATATTACCTTAAAAATCTTCATGTCTTAATTTTCATTAGAAATACATAGCTGCAATTGATCTAATTATTTGCAGATACGATTGTGATCGTCTATTTAATATTAAACTTTGAACCGATCATCCACATGGTTCCCTATTTATTTATTTATTTATTGAATTTTTATTATTATTTATATCAAAAATTTTTAAAAACATACTTTAAATTTAAAATTAAACTTTAAACAGATGCTCTGCTTGGTTCCCTATTTATTTATTTATTTATTTATTTATTTATTTACTTATTTATTTATTTATTTTTTGATATTTAGGAAAAATTAAGATTTGATAAATTGATAACGTTTTTTTCTCTTAAATATTACCTTAAAAATCTTCACGTCTTAATTTTCATTAAAAATACATTGCTGCAATTGATCTAATTTATTGCAGATACGATTGTGATCGTCTATCTACTGGTCTGCAGCGTATGATCCCTTTCCATAACTTCAATGAGGAACTTGAAGGCTACTCTCCACATTTGACTTCCTTAGTCAGTGGACATCATTATGCTAATCGACCATCTGGCATCCGACTTCACGATTTGAACGATCTCGTAGATGTACTGGATATGAACAGATGGAGAGAGCGACTTCTTCAAGCTATTCACTTGGGAGTTTTGATTGATGACCATGGCAATGAAGTTGTTCTTACCCCAGAACATGGTATTGATATGCTTGGATCTATGCTGGAATCAAGTTATGAATCCAAGAACCGTGAATACTACGGAAACCTCCACAATTCTGGACACGTTATGATGGCTCGTATTCATGACCCAGATGGCAGATACAAGGTACTAAAAGCATTTCATAATGTTTCTTTTATAATTATTTTCACATTATAGCTTTGAAGAATTTATTGGGTGAAAATTCTAAATTACATTGAAAAAACTTAGAGACGAATTTTTTTCATTCCACGAGACGTGGATTAAAAACTTCTCATAGAATTATCTTTTGTTAGTCTTATTTAGCAATACAACATTAATAAGTAAACCGTCAAATCTTTAGAGATCTTTGTAAATCAATTGTCATCAAACTTACAAAGCTTCTGATCCACCTTATCGTTTTTAAAACCTATTGTAAGCTACCAACCAATAAAACTTCTGACTTTTATAAAAAAATACGTTTCACATTTGGTTAGAGGAAAAATCAACAAGATTAGCAACCAAAGCGTTAACGTAATCAACCAAAGCGTTAGTTCACGATAGACGATTTCGTGATCACGGCTTTAGATAAAGATACTAAGGATCAATGAGTGAAAAAAGATTCCAAGTGCATTTGGTAGCAAACAGTTAACAAGTAACATTAAGAAACGTATTTTTTGGCAGCAAATAAAAAATATCAAGATTGCAAACAGTTTAACAAGCGACAACAAGACTGTGAACAGTTTATATGAATGTCTGGAATTCATAGATTCCACGAATTGGAAGCATGTGGTTAAGCAAAAAGGGAAATGTATAATTTTAATTTCCCATTTTCATCGCATAAACTTTAAACCAAATTTTCTCAAATTATCTAAAATGTCACTGAGAAATCTTCATTCCTTGCGCTCTTAAATACAATATTCAAATATAATTAATAATAAAACAATTATAAATAAAACAAAAAAATAATTCATTAGTAAATAGTTTTTCCTTACGTAAAATCAAGTTTTATGCTTTATAATATTATTGATACCGCCTATCCTAATTTAGACGCAACTTCTAAACTATTTACTTTAATGAAAATTATTTAAAAAAATATTGCGTATAATTTTGAAAGTGAATTTTTGAATTTGAAACATTTGTCATTACCCAAAAGAAAAAACAAATTTTTAATACCATATGATAATGATTTCTATTTTTGACTTAGAACAATAAAGTAATTTGTCTTTTCAGCTTTTAAAGTACATTTAGAAATTAAATTACCTGACACTATTTTCATTCTTAAGTTTCCTGCAATAACAAAGATATCGTCTATGATGTGCAATTTCTTTTTTCTTGATTCTATCGAAACGAAGAATCCATTTAAAAAATATCTAGAGTATCAAAAGAAAATATCAATGCTACGATAGCAGCATTACACTTCTCAATGTCACTAATTCTATTGAAACGGATCATCCATCTAAAAAATATCTAGAGTACCGTAAAGAAGTATCAATACTATAGTAGGATTACACTTTTCAATGTCACTGATTCTATTGAAACGAAGAATCCATCTAAAAACTATCTAGAGTATCAAAAGGAAATATCAATACTACGATAGCAGCATTACACTTCTCAATGTCCCTAATTCTATTGAAACGGATCATCCATCTGAAAAATATCTAGAGTACCGAAAAGAAGTATCAATACTATAGTAGGATTACACTTTTCAATGTCACTGATTCTATTGAAACGAAGTATCCATCTAAAAAAATATTTAATATAGAAAGGAAGTATCAATAATACGATAGTAGCATAACTTTTTCATTGTCACTAAAGATAAAATGTACTTTTTCTCTTTTAAATAGGAAAACCCAGGTGTAATGAGTGATACATCTACTTCTCTTCGAGATCCCATCTTTTACAGATACCACAGATTTATTGACAATATCTTCCAAGAGTACAAAGCAACTCTGCCAGTTTATGAAAAGAAAGACGTAAGTATAATCATAAATTTAAATTAATCTTAATCTTTAAATGGAAATTTCAATGCGAATCAGCATTTGGTAGTAATATTTTGGCAAAAATTTTCATGCGAATCAGCATTTGGTAGTAATATTTGGGCAAAACTTTTCATGCGAATTATAAGGAATTAATGAAACAGTAGCAGTAATTCCTCAAATGCAATATTATCTCATACTTTAAAATGAGAAAAGTATCACGATTGCTTGAGCAAACGATTCTAAAAATAGTGACTTTACAAAATCGTTTGATAATACTAATTTTTGAATCTGAGTTTTTAATAAGGAAAAAGATGAGAAAGAAATTAAAATTTTAACAAAATCTATTTGTCTCCTTTACCGTAGTTTCTTCAAACGTAATAAAACTGAAATTAAAATAGATAGATTTTTGAGATTTTCGTAATTTTTTTTTAAATAGCGATTATTAAAATGGCGAGTCTCCGAAATAGTTTTTTATTTTTCACTTTTAAACTTTTACTTTTCAAAAAGACAAAAAATGAAGAAAAACGACCTTAAAAAGCTGAAACATATTAGAACTTTGATAAAATTAATCTTTTTTTTTCCCCTCTTACCTTAATTACTTAAAACATAACACAAAGAACTTGAAAGTTGATAAAAACATTAAAATTGACAATATTTCTGCTTTTGAAGTTAGCTAGTTTTTACTTTTAAACTTTTACTTTTTAATAAAACAAAACATGAAGAGAACGACTTTGATAGGCTGAAACAAATTAGTTGAATTAATTACTTTTATTTCTTTTGCTGTGTTACCGTAGTTACTTAAAACATAACACAAACAAATTTGAGCAGGGAAAGAAGTAGTTTTAAAATTAAAAATATTTCTGCTTTTGTCCTCATTCAAATTTGCAATTTAGGGCAAATTTTGTGTGCATAGATATAATATCTTTTATATAATTTAAATTAATTTCGGAAAAATTTTCTCTCACTAACACTTATATTATTCAAAATTTTTAAAATAATAATTATTGCGTTCAATGGTTTTAGTTGGACTTCTCCGGTGTTACCGTTGTCAATGTGTCTGTAAAGGCTAAACTACCCAACATTGTTAACACTTTCATGAAAGAAGATCAACTTGAGCTCTCTCATGGTATTTCCTTGAAGGGACCAGTCAAGGTAAGAAAATTAATTTTAATCACTTTTAAATAATGTTTATATGAATCATAAGACATAGCAATCAAATTATTTAAACTTTTTAGTGATACCTCATAATCAAACATAGCGTAACGAAAAGAAATAAAGTAATTTTATTAGGTGCTTCTGTGTGTGTAGAAGTACAAAAGCGCCACGTCTGACTTTTGTAATTGAGGACCTAAGAGCAATAACAAAGTAAGGTCATATTCACAAATTGTTGATGAGAAACAACTTAAATTTATAAAGTCAATAAGTTTACATAGTTACTCCTCACACTATTTACTACAGAGAGAGGACTGGTTTTACTTTTGTGTCCAGTTCTTGCACTAATAGATTCAGCAATAATGCAATAAAATGAAAAATTAAATTTGGGCTTACCGTGTGATTGCATCAATAGCTCCTAAATTCCATAGCGTAAAATTGATAATATAAATGCAAATTAAGTCGATTTACTTCATAAATGATTATGCACTTTCAGCTATGGTGTTTGAATAATTTTTATCTATAATTTCCTGTCTGTTTTCGGAATTTTTGTCAAATGCAAAATAGGGCAATAAGCAATATACTTTTGTTTTGGCAATATTGATGCAATTTCAGAAAGCACATTTGCGGATATAACTGTGTGAGCTGAGCAAAGTTATATCATTAAAAAAAAAAATTTTTTTTTTTTTACTTGACGAAATTTCATTTTTTTTTTTTNTTTTTTTTTTTTTTTTTTTTTTTTTTTTTTTTTTTTTTTTTTTTTTTTTTTTGAAAGCCAATTTTTTTTTAATCTTCTAAACTCGTATTTTTTTTAATTTTCCAAAGGACATTCGCTATTTTCTATTTATTGTATCATGAAATATTATGGATTCTATATATTCTATATATGCTTTATAAAACGTCTATTGACCTTTTTTTATCCTTTATATACATATATTAAGACTTATGATTAAGGAGTATCCCTCCTAATTTTAGGGAATTTCGTTTATTTCCTACCCATCTGAAGCAAATACCGGTTAGTTAGATAAGAAAACTCCTCTCTGATTTCGATTTTAACCCAATGCTTAATCCAAGAATTCCATTGTCTTTTGGATTAGACTCAAAATCATAAGGCTACGGGGCCGTACAATGATGACCACAAATCCCATATGGATAAACTTTTTTAAACTGGTTGTTAAAAACTAATAGTTTTGGTTTCAAACAGGTTAGGTACGAGCACCTTGACCACGAACCATTCACCTATAACATCAGCGTTGAAAACACTGGAGCAACCAGACACGCAACAGTCCGAATTTTCTTGGGACCTGTACATGATGAATTGGGCAACAAACTCTCAATCAACGAATCAAGAAGGTTTTTCATCGAACTCGATAAATTCCATACCGAATGTAAGTAAACTTTAGTAAGATATAGTTCTGTATGGTAATATTATAAATTTTTTACAATTATAATACCCAAATTTAAATTATTTTTCTCTCATTTTGACGTTACTAATATATATAGACAATAAGTCAGTATTTTTGGTTAAAACCACCACGATTTTTAGGTAAAAAATAAGATATTTTTGTGTATTGGGCTGCCATTTAGAGGTAATTCCAAAAAATTATAAAGCACTAATCTGGAAAACATACTAAGGGACTGTTTGATTTTAAAATGTCCCCTTTGGAAAGCGTGCAGGTAGCACTGAAATGTCATAATCTTTCAATCATACTTTTATTCATGAAAAAACACATTTTAATTAAACAATTTTCATCGCTTCTTTTGAAGCTTAACTATTGCTACGGGAAATCCTAACTCTCGTCAAATACAATAATTCCATCTAATAGATTAAAAAAAATAATAAAATATTTCTTTAAAAAATACTTTCTAAATTATTCGAAATAAGACAAGATTCACTATGGATAAGAATTTAGTAATTTTTGATGAAATACTTTGCCAATAAAATTTAATAAATATATTGATTAAATCACTATAGGTAATTATTTCATTTACGAAATATTCTATAAATCACTGGAAAATCGTATTCAAGAAATTAGTAATTTTTGGTGTAATACATCCGCTTAAAGTAAATTATGGCTTTACATGAAACACTTGTTTGTTCCCGTGAATCAGCAATCAATTATTATTATTATATTTTGCTTAGTTAAAAAGAAATTTTAAATCTAGCTGGGTATCTTTTAACATGAAAGGAAACAGTATACACAGCACAGAAAACAAACAAGAAAATATAGTGAAAATTATTCATTTTGAGGAATGCTATTTTTATTTACCCCCTTTGATTTTAGTAGCAGATGAACAAATAAATAAAATAGTTAAAATTGTTTATTTTAATTTTTTTAGTACATAATAGTATTGTTTACATACATTAATGTAGTACATAATGTGTATTAATAATATGTAATAAATTTTTTTCAAGGTGTATCAGATAGGATGAAATCCGGTTATCATGAAATAAATGATAGTGCCGCCAATTTCGCGCTAACGAGGTTCGACTGTAATACGATCAAAAATTCAGTAGATATATCAATCACATCAAATAGAAGGGACGGAAACATTTTTGGCCTTCTTAAATAAACTAAAATGTCACTTAGTACCCTATTTTACGAAATTCTTCCAGTATTTCATCTAATAAAAACGAATTCAGTATTATTTTTTTTTAATAAAACTGTAAAGAAATTTTCTTTGTAGCAGTAAAGGCAGATAATGGTGAGAGAGTGGCAGACGTGGCAGCAGTCATTTGTTTAAACTATATGTCTAGGCCAAAATATGAGCAGACATCGCTGGCTTTATATAGGCTAAACTGGACTTAACAGTAGAGTAACAGCTGCAAACTAGCAGCAGCTATAAAAAACGCATCATTTCATATTACGATGGAGGCTTCGAGAAGCAGCCTTAAGTAGCTGCTGGCAAGAATGTCAGCAATAGTAACGTAATATTAACAATAGTAACGTAGTATTAACAACAGTAACGTAGTAAATTAGATTTATTGTATGAAAAAGGCATATATTCAGATATTATTTAGCATAAAACTCTTATTTTATTCCTATTCAGTGGCTGCCGGCAAGAATACCATCACCCGCAAATCCATTGACTCCGCCGTCACTGTTGCACCTACACCAAAATTCTCTCAACTCCAATCCGGTGAAGGAATCAGTGAAAACAACACTGAATTTTGCAGCTGTGGTTGGCCTCAGCATCTCCTTGTTCCAAGAGGCACACACAAGGGCATGGACTTCTATCTTTTTGTCATGCTTACTGACTACGAACAGGATCACGTAAGTTTCTCAATAATCAGCTATTATGAATAATTAATAAAATCAAATTAAATCAACTAAATGCAACAAAATTACCACCATTTTTTTTTTTTCGAAAGCATATACTTGGCATTAAAAATGCAAAAGCTTTTTACTCAGAAATTGTAAGATATGAACCGGATGCTACGTTAATATCACCCCACATCCTAAATATTTTTAGAATGTGTGGAAAACGAAGTAGAACCTGCATATTAAGGATCACAGATTACTATTAAGTTTGAAAAAAAGCTCTAGGATACACATTCAGTTTTAAAATAGCATTTAACTGAAGAAAAGGTAAAAAACTATCAGAATCTAACAAATCACAAGTGATGAAGGCTGAGTGAAAAACATCTAAACTAGTTTAATTGCCTGAGGAAACTTGGAAACGTCTCTAATAATCGCCTTTCAACTAGTTTCCTCTATGAATGAAACGAATTTAGATGTTTTCTTTCCCATCTTCATTGCTAGTGACTCGTTAAAAATCCATACCGTTGTTTTTTCCTGTCTTAAATATTAAAACCTAACGCACATCCCTTTTTTTACTTCATTCAAGGTTTTAAATGATTCGTACATTATTCAAGGACTTCTTCAAGAAATCTAAATATATATATATTAAGCGGCGATCATTAAGTAATATCCTGCATATTTGAAATTAAACAGATATTATATAAAATATATTTAATTTCAACTATCACGTTATATAATATTTAAATATTAAATAATATGAACTACAGTATGAGGCTTAAGCCAGTTTTATGAACACTTCACAAGAATTTAGATAATTGCTTTTAATATTTTTCGTAATAAAAAAAAACCTTAAAACCTTATTTAAAAAACGGTCATAATTTAATTTTTCAACGTCATATATACAATATTAGATAATAGCTTTTAATATTTTTGTAATAAAAAAAACCCTTGAAACCTTATTTAAAAAACGGTCAAAATTTAATTTTTAATCTGCAACGTCAAATTTAATTTTTGTGTTTGTTAAAAAAAAATTATGGATCGGGATGGTTCTAATACGAATTCGCAGGTTTACGTAAATCTTTAGGAAGAAAACATCAATGAAGACTTCATTTTACATTTAAACTATATTTCTTTAAAAAAATTCTAAAAATCTGTTAAATCATATTTGTATAAAATGCAGAACTTTATTTTCGAAAGTTTATATAAAAAAGTAGAATTAGAAAAATAGATTTGAGGTAGGTTTAAAATAAATCATCATCATCTTCTTTAACCAATATGAATCCACTGTTGGATGATAATCTGTAACAAAAAATCACAATCTACTGCTTTTAAAGAAAAAAAATCATTTGACCACATCGTTTGTGGCCGCTTCCCTGGTGGTTAGATGTGATGAGGATACCAGTTCAAGAAATTCCAGTGATTGTCCATCTTTGAGCTATATGACGGAAACATAGCGCTGACATCTGACATCGAAGATATTTGTAGCCTTGTCCATGTCACTTACTCACTTTCGGTACTTTTTCGAAATACCGAGTAAACATCTTTCTATACTTCGCTGTGTTGTTCTAAGACTTTAAATAAATCTAGAGACAATGGAGAGTCCATGTTTTTACTCCATCAATAAAAGTGGATTACACATATTGATAGTAAACTTTCCTCTTCAAAGTAGCATACTACTCTTTAATAAAATGCTATCTTTAAGAAACACACCTCCGATTAATTTTGATTTAAAATAAGTATGTTAAGTAAACTGGTTTTTAAGAATAAACATATATACTTACAAAATCAAATAACTTGATTATACAATGCTAACATTGGAATTGTGGCTTAATTTAGGTTGGCAGCTTGAATGCTCAAGCCATCTGTGCCGATGCTGTCAGTTACTGTGGAGCTAAGGATCAGAAATACCCTGACAAGAAGGCTATGGGCTATCCATTCGACCGAATCATCAAAGCTCGCACTATTGCAGAATTCTCTACACAAAACATGAACTTCCAAGAAGTCAGAATCCAATTCAAAGAATAAATTACTTTTAAGATCTATAAGCAAATATGAGGAAAAGGAATCATCCAAAATTTGTAATTTAATGGAAACCAGAGAGAATCAATAAAGTTTATTTCCTGAGCGAAAGTTGTGTACTACTAATATTATTTTAATGACTGAAAAATGCAATTATATATTTAAGGTGTGTTCAAGATTTTTTTAATGAAACACATGTTGAGAAATGTTAATGCTAACATCATGAAAATTATCTTTACATAATTTTTAAATATTTTCAACAATACATTAATCATTAGGTAAACAATTATCATATCAGTTTAAAAGAAAAAATATCAAGACATGATACTGAATTTTTAATAATTAAAAAAATTATTCAATTAAAGTACTTGGAGAAATATTGGACCAGGCCAGATTTTCAAATGGTTCAAGAGAGTATTTTAAGTAAAAAAAAAAATCAACAAGATTTCCATGTAGGCTACAAAATGTGTAGGTGTGTTGTGCTGCAATCAAAATGAAATTCCCAAACTGTGTCAAATATCTATCTGGATACAATAATAAGGAATATAAAATTTCTTGAAAAAAAATTAACATAACATTTAGAAATAAAACATGAATTTTAGCTTTAAAAATTTTAACTTATTTCTTTTCAAAATTTTTTAAATTGTCAAAAGTTCTGGAAACACATTTTAACACATCACATCATTTACTGTTTTTTAAGTACTACACATACATCCCTTTTTAAAATAGGTTATTATAACTGTATTTAAAAAGAAAGAAAAAAAATCTATCACAAAATAAAGTGTTTTTTATTTTTAATTATCAATTTTTATCCAAATAAATACTCCTAATTTATAGGATTTTGAATCAAACTGTTCTGTTACTCAGCAACACATCATTTTGATACAATGCAATACAAGATTCTGAACAACCAAAATACAAAATGAATTAAAGATTACGTTAAAAAAAAATTCTCTAACATACTTAAAGCTTAAGTTTTTAGTTTTTTAAAAACATTTCATAGAATTAAAAATAACTATTTTTCTAAAAAAAACAAGAATTAAAATATTTTTTGAAGGGAATTTTTCTTTAAAAATTAAAACTATTAAACCTCGCAAAATTAGACTTAAAATTTCTATTAGCAATATAACAATTATTGCTTCAAATAATAATGAGATTCAAATCATTCATAAACAAAGTTTTGATTTCCAAGATTAAATGTTTTTTAATCCATTTTAAATATTTCAATTTTAAGAACCAGTGTGACATGCTTGTAAATCCCATCTCGGGCTCCACAGAAATATTTGTTTCAGTTACAAAAATGAAGCACATTGTTTGGCTTTATAGAAATTTTTTGGTCTAACTAATTTGATCTATTGATCTTAATTCTGATATACTACTACTTAATATCACTTACCATGGCACCATTTATATTAATTCTTATACATAAAGGTATACTACCAACATTTATTTTTCAAACAATTCATTTTTGATTTGATTTTAAAGCCAGTAATAACAAATAATTATTGAGAGAATATTTCTTTCTTATTTAAATAATATACTCAGTACCTATCATCAATCCTTTTTTGACAAGGATTTCAAAATTAAGTATTAAAATTGGTGTTATGAGTACACCCAAAATGTTCTTTATATTAGAGATGCACTAATTGTAGTTCATTAGGGAAAGTTTAGTCTTCATTAACTTGTCAAAAGCTGTTGACAGAACACCATTTATTTTGCTATATTTTCTCACAATTTACTGTTCTCAGCGACTTTATCCTTAAGAGATTTGATACTCGCTATTTGAACTCTTGTTAAAAATTGAAAGAAACAAAACAAAAATTTTACAAATTTTATGCCAACAATTGAGCACTCTATTTAATTATCATGCAAAATCATCAAAAACATTTTTTATTTTTATTATTCTAAAAAGTTAAGCAGGTAAAATATAAATGAAAACTAATACTAAATAATGAAAATGTTTACATTAAAAGTGAAAATGCTTTGGTTTTATAGTAAATTTTTAGCATTAAAATATTAATTATATATTCTAAGCACAGAAAAAGGTTTTAATGTTAGATAGAGTAAAAGGTTTGAAATAAGTTTATACAGGGTATGTGCTACATTTTAGATTTTCAAATTCATGACTTTTCATGACTTTCCATGACTAATTCCAAGAACTTTTCATGACTTAACGAAGTTACTATTTTCTCCCACAAAAACAGAATAATAAATTTAAAAAGCATTCTAATAACATTAATTAAAATGATAGGTATAACAATAACTGTTTTACTCTGCATCTTCATATTTATTGATTTTAAATTTAAAAAACAGAGTAAAGAAATAGTTGAAGCAATAAAATAGTTGAAAAAATAATAGCTGAGCAAATAATTTTTTTCTCTTTTTTTCTGCAGAATTATATTCTAAAGATACTTTTCTTGTTCATCAGAAAGTAAAGAAATACTCCTGATTTTTCTGTTCTCATTTCGGAATTAAAAAAATTTGCCAATGACTGGCTTGCTTCAGCTAGAATTTTAAATCGATAAAATAAAAAAAAAGATGAATAATAATAATTCTGAAATCACATAAGTTTACAAGATACTTTGCTCTAGAAATGATGCTTTTAATTTCATTTTTAGAAAGCACAGCAAAATTTAAAAGAAAGAAAATGATAAAAACTTTTTATATTCTAATAAAATATGACTCAGAATGGGGATTTTGTTACAAATTCAGATATCCGGAACACCATGAAATTGGGGAGGGATTCCAATTTAAAAATAAAATTTTTAGGCGACCTAAATCCATGACTTTTAATGATTTTTTTTTTTTTTAAATAGTTAAATTCATGAAATTTCATGACAAATTTTGTTCAATACCGAAATCTGTGACTTTCCATGATTTTTCATGACTTTCCAGGTGTGCGGATACCCTGTTTATATCATATTGTTTATATCATATTGTTTAAGTCATATTTTCTGAAAAGAAAAAAAGCACTAATATTGCTTAACTCTAATTGTTTTCTGTTAAATACTGTTCAAACTTGCTATTTGTTCTTTCTTAATACTTGAATAAAGCAGTATCTAACTGATAACATAAATAAATTGTTGATATACCTTATTACATTGCTCTATTTTTTACCTAAACGAAAAATATTTTAATGAATTTGCACAAAATGGCTGTTTGCAGATAAAAATTAATGCTAATCAAACTGAAATCAGATTTCTCACACTAATGGTTCTGTATTTAGCATATTTACAAAGTTCACCTTCCCTTAAGTTTTAAATGAAAGCTTATGAAAGAAAGTAGGTATTAATCTAGTATACAATTTGTCAACTTTCTACAGCCAGAGTGGTAACTTGAATGGCCTTTAAAAAAAACTTTTTAACAATAAAGATAAATTAACAATGACTCATGGATAAACTTTTCGAAAATAATGGGCTAGAACTAAAATACTAAGTGAATTACAACTTCACTTTGACTTGATCATTTTGCACCCTCCCCCCCCCCTTCTAGTATCTTCAGAAGGAAGTTGTATCACTCCATATGAATAATGCTATTTATTCACAGCTAAACACTTTCAGAAACTTTAACAGTTTTCTAATGAAATCCCCCAACCAAGTATTTCACATTTGTGCAAGTTTGTACAGAAATTTCTTCATAACCCATAGCTTTCTCATTGAATAAAAATATGCAAATAATTTTTAGGCAGGAAAGAATATCAGGTGAAAGGATGTGTTTAGACATTGCAAATAAAAACAATAAAACAAATCTAATGACTTACGTAAAAAAAAAATAAATTTTTCACTATAAATTCTAAATAGTTATTTTATTGCTCAGAGTAACCACAAAAAATATATTTTAACAACAAACATAACAAAAACTGATCAATTAACTTTCTCGAAATATTCCATGGCCTTTTTCACATCTGGTTTGATGGTAGGAGAATCAGGTTTCCAATTTGCTGGGCACACTATAAAAGACAAAAAGAAACCTATTATGAAACTGAATTACAAAAGAAAAGTAATTTCATTAGATCACATGAATTGATTAAACATAAAAAATTTACTAGTTTCATAAATTTCTGAATAATTCAAACTCAATACACAACAAATTTATTAATACTCATACTTACTTTCAATTCTTCAATTTGAAGATTCTTTTTAGAGATAGATTTTAATAAACAAAACAAATTATTAAATTATGCGAGATGTGAGAAAAAAAATGTGATTTCCTTAGCTGATCTCCTGAAAAATGTGATTTCCTGTGATTTCCTGGATTTTCTTCACGTGATATCCATTTTTTTTCATATTATAAGAAATAGTATTCAGATGGCACAAAAATCGCAAATAATCATAAAGAAGCGGAAATTGGCAGAAAAGTGAAGGATTCTCATCCGTACATACTTTATATTAACAGGTCGCAAATGTTTTTAAATAAATGTAAAGGCAAAGGAGTTTTGTTTATTTTGATTGTTAAAAGTGTCTGGAAAAGAGATCCTTCCAGTAATCAGATGTCTGGATATGCGACTTTGTATTGTAATTCATTCGAAAAAATATGGATTTATTACAGGCAAGCAATTATTCATATGGTTATGAATAAACAATAAAAATAAATGCCAAATAAATTAATCCCAAAGTTTATTTTCAATAAATGAACATGGATGGATAAAAAAGAAAAAAACTAGAAAACATGCAATCTTTAAATGGTCACTTCAGTAACATTTACAAATGAAAAACAGCATAATATTTATTTTTCAAGCAATAACTGCCATAATGTTGAATCAAAGTTAGACAAATTTTAAAACTGGCATATATCCCTATAATTTAATTTAGAAAAGCAGATAGATAAAAATTTAGATAAAAACTAAAAACTCCATTGAATATAAATATTTCACTAACTTAACTCTGGAATAATTTGATTTTTGAAAGCTCACATATTTTTTCGATAGACCTAACTAAACTCAATGGTGCGACAGCTCACAGAGGGCCAAGGCCCACTGTGCCTATATCAGTTTTTTTTTACCTTGCACTCATGGGTGCAGGAACAGATGTTCCAGTTGGATGGTGAGCCAAATGCGGAAACCCCAGTGTTTAGTACCCAAGTATGCTTGGTACTCATTTTATCGACCCACTGAAAAGATGAAAGACGGAGTCAACATTGCCTGGCCTAAGAATGGAACTCAGGACTAGTGGCATAACAGCACAAAGCACTACCACACTGCCACTGGGCATCTCTCATAAGACTTAAACCTTTATAAAATTTTTGGCAATTGATGTTTTGATATAAAACACTAATTTATGGCAAATAACTAATGTCTTGAAATAATACATTATAATAATAGATATTTTGAAAAAGAACCAGTTTAGTAAAATAAAAAATAAAATTTATTACCTTCACCATGTTTTTCATGAAATTGAAATGCTTTAATAAGGCGTATTGTTTCATCAACAGAACGGCCAATTGGAAGATCATTAATAGTTATTTGGCGAACAACTTGATTTGGATCAATGATGAATAATCCCCTAGAAAAATAATGAATGAATTTTATATGCATATATAGACACATAAATATATTAGTAAACAATTAAAATATTCTCATACCTGCCAACATTAGAGAAATAAAATAACGGAGATTTAAGTAGCAACATTTTATTAGGCTACGAGTTAAGTTTTGATACATTAGGCATAATCATGTAAGTCAAAAAGAGAAATTCAAAATTGGAAATAATATAAGCACTTAACATTTAGCGAAATAATATATATACAAATCTTAATATAAAGATTTTTTAAACCATTATTTATAAATACTTGAACTATTTTATATTATAACAGTCGTTAAACAGCCGACCCAATTTAGGGTTTACAACTATTAATGTTCAACTCCGTAGCCTTGTAATTTTGAACCCAGTCCAAGGAACTCCTGGATCAAGCATTGGAAGAAATTAGCCATCGTGGAGGACTTTTTGATGGAACTAACCTGCATTTGTATTACATGGAGAGGAAAATTATGAAAACCTCCCACAGTTAGCCTGACAAGGGGACTCCTACCCATGATCTGTCGTTTACCACTGAAGATATTTTACAACAGCACTGTGGTCAGTGCAAGGTGGATGCGGAATTCGTATCGACCAGCCGATGCTGAGATTCAAGCCCGGTTCACCTCATTGGAAGGCTAATGCTCTATCTCCTGAGCCACCACTCAACATATTGCAATACTGGCAATAGCACTACCTGTTGAGGAATAAGAGAAGTATTTTTGCCATCAGCGAATATTTTATCTCCTAATTTTTTTTTTAAATTCAACAAATACGGAGAAATTTAAGAATATAAGGGTAAACTGGAGATAGTAGTAAAATACAGGAATCTTCATTAAAAGAACAGGAGACTTGGAAGGTATGCATTCTATGATGAAACATTTTGAAATTGAACTAAAAAGCATGCTTAAGTAAACAGGTATTTTGTCTCAATTTATTTCCAATATATTGTTATATGCTTGAACTTAACATGAATCTTAAATAAATTCATAATGAAGAAAAATAAAATAAAACACTGTCAATAGCACTTTTCAAGCATTAATAAAATAAGTAATTAGTATAAAAAATAAAATTATAAAATCATTTGTACTACTATAATGATCTGCAATAATTTTATTATAATACCACTTGAATGTGTTACCTTAGTAAAATAAGAAATAAGAAGATAAAAATTTTATATATTATATCATTATCATATTCATAAACTAAATGTGGGAATATGAAATGTTCCTAGTTCCTACATTTTATGGAATGAATCAAAAAATGTTAACTAAATTGATTTATAGCTCAAAGCATAGTGAACATGAAGTTCCATTTTTATCTACGAAAGTAACAGAATAACCATTTTGAACAGAATCATTTCTCGGGATGCAAAAGCAAATGTAAAAAATTTGTTATACCTTAAAGCTATTCCTGCATCTAAAAGAACTCCATAATCTTTCGCAATCTGCTTGTTCAAATCAGAAACTAAAGGAATATTCATAGTGCCAAGTCCACCTTGCTATAAAATTAAAAATTAAAAGGTGAAAATTATTTTTAAGAAAAATAATTGTACATAAAACCTATAACATTTATTACAATTTAGTTACAAAAATGCTGAAAACATTGATAGCATATTCAAAGCATACATATTCCTAAAAATATGTGAAATGTTTCATGTGTATTAAAAAAAAATATTATCTAATTTTTAATTAAAGAAAACTTTAAAACTTAATTACATTCTAAATCTTAGGCTCTATTTTTTAAATTTTGTAAAATACATTCAAATTAAAAATTATCTATAAAAGAAAATAAGCAGCAATAAGAAATATTAGACCAGACTCATATATTTGAATTCTCATAGTTTTTCAGACTGATGATCAATGATCTCTAAAATGGTGAGTTTTAAATTAAACTATATACATTTAAATTATTATGTCTCAATGAATTGGAACTAGGAAATGTTTTGAAATCAAACACTATTGTTTTTTTGTTTTTTTTTCCTATATAGAACAATAAATGCTGAGTCCCTCACTTTTTACCTACAAAATTATTGTTTCTAGAAACATTGAAATCTTGCAGCCACAATTCTAATATGGATCAGCTGTTAAGAGTCAGGGATAAAATAGAATTAAAAAGACACTATATATCCATATACTCTTAACAAATCATCAGATATTTCATATTAAAAGTTATTAGTTCAAACTTGCTAAAAAAATACATAACTTGATTTATAAGATTTTATTTTGGTTTACTTTTCATTTTTGTCATTTAAGTACAATATATTTATTATAAAAAATTTTGAAATTAATAAAATCTATTTTTACCACAGATGACCTCATAAGTTAATCATAATATAAGTAAAAAACAACTCCTAGACATTTCAAAAATTAATTCATAATTTAAAATAAAAAGAATATACATACCTTTCGAGGAGTATTAACCCAAGCTAAGTGACTAAAATGTGAATCCACTGATACTGCAAGTACTTCAGTATTTAAAGATTGAAATTCTTTAGCCTTTTCACTAAAAGCTATTATCTCAGTTGGGCATACAAAAGTGCTGAAATAAAAAGTAAAATTAATATCAAAAATAACTCATGATCCAACTTCAGAATTACATACTTTTTATTAGTGTTGCTTAAAAATTGCTAAGATAGTTAAAAGCATTTTAAGTCTCGAGAACTAAATAACAACTTAATTCTCAAAAAATATGAAAGGCAAAATAACAAACAAAACAATATTAATCTGCAATGCACTACAATGAGAAAAAAAACTACTAGCAATAAGCATTACACAGAAATTTAAACCACTGTTAAAAGTTTAAATGGATTTAAAAGAAAACTATGACAACTCATCACTGAATATTTAATACTAAATTTATCGAGAAACTCTTCAAAATCTACCATCCCAATAACTGTTTATAATAGATTAGATTGTAATAAATTTAAATTGTTTGAGACAACTTCGGAAAGCGTCCTACTCTCTAACTCTACCCGGTTTTTTTTAACATTTTAAAAAAAAAACTTAAAAAATAAAAAATATAATAATAAATTCCAATAAACAGATATACTATACAACAAACTTATCAAGTATTTTTGTAAAAAAAATATATATATGTTTTCAATCAAATATTTAACTATACTTAATGCATAATTTAAGCTTTAGTAACAATTATAATAAAAACTTTCTTGGATGCATTAACAAAAAGAGGGGCATTAACAAAAACTTAGTTAAATCTTAATCACTTTACGATACAAAGAATTACTTACAAATCTAAAGGATAGAAAAAAAGCACTACATATTTTCCTTTATAATCTGTTAAGCTGACTTCTTTAAATCCCCCATTAACAACAGCAGTAGCTTTAAACGTAGGAGCTGGTTTAGTTACTTCCGCAGCTTGACAAGTAGAGCCTTAAAAATAAGATACAATAAAGTAAAAAAAGCTATAAAACTTATATATTAGAAAAAAAGTCAGTTAAAAAAAATAGTCTTAAAAAATTTATAAGCTAACTAAGCTTTAAAGTTAATTTTTTAAAGATTAAAACTATGCTCATTTTAAGTAACAATTTAATGAAGACAGAGCTTAGTAAAACAAATCTATTAATTAGAAATTTAAATCATCAAGAAAAAGTATTGCTCGCTTGCAATCAACATAACATCAAGCACAATAACACATTTGAAGGAACCAAAAAATTCGGATTAGCAAAAAATATGCGATTTATAGCAATGAAACGTCACATTCTTTGCGTATTATCATTTGCCCATGCATTGCCAGCACTTATAAAAATTCAAATTTAATATAACAATAAAATACTCTACAGCAGTGGTGGGGAAACTTTTTTTAAGACGGGCCATTTGTAATAACTAGACAATCGTAGCGGGCCAAAGAATAATGCTTAATCGTTAAAAAATTTATGTGTTCTATAAACATATACATATATTATTACATACACTTATTATTTTAATAGTAAAAAAGCAAAAGGTAAGAAAATTATAAGCACAAAATATAAAATGAATTTAGTGTAGTTCTTGATGTGAAGTATTATCACTTTATTTTCTGGTGTCATTACTGATTGATGGTGCATGAGAAAAATGAAATTGAGACTGTTTCTTCAAAATTTCATCATAGTCCGGTTCCATTTGCGAAGCAGAAATTCTTAAAACTGATGAAAGGTGCTCATCTGTAATTCTGTTTCTTAAAGAAGTTTTCCTAAGCTTCATTGTTGAAAAGATTTGTTCGCATATATAAGATGAGCCGAACATTGTCATTATCTTCATTGCATGAGTAATTAGATTTGGGAAATTATCTGGACTTAAATTTTTATAAAATTCTAGTAATGGTACTGTATGAAAAGTTTGTTTCAGGAGAGTATTACAGTTCAGTTCTATTAACTCAAGTTGAAATTTTGCATCAACTTCTTCGTAATTAACATTGAATGGGGTCGCAAAAATACTAAACTCTGGTTCCATTTTTCTAAAGTCCTGAAATCTCCTTTCAAATTCTGAAGATAGTTTTCTCAAATTAATTTCGTATTTTTTAATCTTATTGTTTGATATAGTGAATTTTAAAGATTGTATTCTTGGAAAATGAGAAAAATCAGATTTAGAGATCTGATTAGCAAATAATAATAACTGTAATTTGAAACTTTT